CCACCACCATACCTACAACCAACAAGACCACCACCAAACCTACAACCACCAAGACCACCACCAAACCTACAACCACCAAGACCACCACCAAACCTACAACCACCAAGACCACCACCAAACCTACAACCACCAAGACCACCACCAAACCTACAACCACCAAGACCACCACCAAACCTACAACCACCAAGACCACCACCAAACCTACAACCACCAAGACCACCACCAAACCTACAACCACCAAGACCACCACCAAACCTACAACCACCAAGACCACCACCAAACCTACAACCACCAAGACCACCACCAAACCTACAACCACCAAGACCACCACCAAACCTACAACCACCAAGACCACCACCAAACCTACAACCACCAAGACCACCACCAAACCTACAACCACCAAGACCACCACCAAACCTACAACCACCAAGACCACCACCAAACCTACAACCACCAAAACCAACAGTCACGAAGACCACCACCAAACCAACAGTCACGAAGACCACCACCAAACCAACAGTCACGAAGACCACCACCAAACCAACAGTCACGAAGACCACCACCAAACCAACAGTCACGAAGACCACCACCAAACCAACAGTCACGAAGACCACCACCAAACCAACAGTCACGAAAACCACCACCAAACCAACAGTCACGAACACCACCACCAAACCAACAGTCACGAAGACCACCACTAAACCAACTACCCCCTAAGAGTGCCACCAAATCTACTACCATGCCATCCGGCAAGTAAACGGTGAAATGAAAGAACCAGACGATAAATGCGCTACCAACACTGCACAGACATCTACCAATAGCTTCAATAAAATATATTATGTATGCAAAACTCACGTTATTTATAACAAATACATCAGAGATGTGAATGCATAAAAAACTACAAGAGTGATATTCCAATAATGTCATTATATAAGAGAAAATAACATTCCTTACATTTTTAGACAACCTTAAAATCTTCATCTACTTTTGTTTAAGTTGTTTTAAAGTTAAACCATAAGTAAAGAAATAAAACAACTTAAAGCAGATAAATAAATTCTTAAATACAGTAATATTTACAAAATACAAATAAAACTAGAAGAATATCATCAAGAACCTTGAAAAGATATCATTAAGAACATTAATAGAACATCAAAAAGACCATAAATACATTATATGTTCTAAGAACTTAAAGAAAAAACATCAACCAGATTATTAAATAACAAAGATAAAAGCACAGTAGAAAGAACTAGTTATAAAGCCAAAATCGACGACAAAAACAGACCCAAATAGCAACAAAACAGCAAAGACAACAATTAAAAAAGAAACAAAACAAATAAAGAAACCATTCGCAACAAAAAAAAACAAATAAAGGAATAAAAATCTAATCAATAACAAGAACCACAAATAAGAACAAATTAGAAACTTAAGAAAATAAGAACAACAGATAATTAAGAACATTGTTTTGCATAAATAAATTCAATAGTATTGTTACACATGACTTCGGATGACATAAACCCCACAGAGAATATTTTCAATGAGAGGTTTACCTCGTTTCTCGCTCTTTACTCTGAAAGTTTATTTTGGATCAAAAAAACTGTTATATTCATTATTAAAGTATACTGTTATTTAATCAGTATAATGGCCTTAATCACCCTCCCGCGGGTGGTAGGCCTTATTTCCATCATTAAACCAACTAAAGAACATTTTTATTTTGACTACAGTGTATGAAAATTAATAAAACAAAGTCTATAAGAAGATCACTTTATTTATCCAACAGAGAGAGTGAGTACCCATCTTCCTGTTTTATAACTACTTATAGTAACGATGAGAACTATAGTATATATACCGACGTATAACGCAATTAGAAAGTAGTAATCGGTACTAATAAGTTTAGAAAAAAACAGGAAAACGATTTTCTACGTGCAAAGACAAACTAAACCCAACTTAACGTTCGTAGGCCGAATACACGCTATCTGAAGTGTAATATAGTACATATATGGGCTATATTAGGGCCTAGGATATTCACGCTTATTGCTTGGCTTCATTTTTTCGGATTCGATAAAGTGAATAGTACAAAGTTCTACTATCTAACTGCTTAGTACGTCAATGTTTGTATTATGGCGCACATAGTTACAAAAACTGCTATCTAAACACGAGGATAGGTTGAGAGAGTCATGAAAACGAATTATTTTTGCTGTTATCGAATTAAGTCGTTTGCCTGCAATACACGTTAAGCTTATTGAACGTTGTTTTTAAACAAGCGATCTCTTTCCTTTTCTGAAAGTTGCACAGCAATTGCAACCCTCCTCGCTTCTGATACTCTGCTCGACTTTATTTATTAAATATTCAAGACAAGGGTTCATTAAGTTCTCATAGCATCTTTACAGTCTTTAAGAACCCTGGCAAATACTGATGCAGGTACCTGATGTCTGACGTCTACAGCAGTTGAAGGAGGCATTCGAGCAAAATTCGGTGTCAAATTTCACTTACGAGATGTAGAATGATGGGACGCTGCCCTTTCTAGGTGTAACAGTCGCGAAAAGGAAAGGAATGGGGCTTCTATACTGCAGTCTACACTAAGGAAACGAACATAGGAATGTGCCTTAATTCCAATAGTGACTGCCCAGACCGGTACAGGAGTAGTGTTCTTAACGCTTACATTGACCGAGCTCTCACTCACAGCTCTGGTTGATAGCAGGTCAACGAGGAACTCTGTAGAGTTAAGAAGGTCCTAGTCAATAATGGCTTCTCTAACGGTTAAGTTGAAGGCGTCATTAAAAGAAAGGTGACACGCCATGCAACCTCTGAAGAGTCAACTAACACAACACCTGTACCTCCTATTAGACTGTTTTAAAGGAACTTGTTTTCGACGGCTCATAAAATGGAGGAAAGTATCCTGAAAGATATTATTGATAGGAATGTAATCCCCACAGACACAAATCAGAAGATACACTTAACAATTTACTACAAAAACAAAAAGACGGCAAACCTACTTATGAACAACTCTCCAGACACCAAACAGAACGCCTTGAAAGAGACCAACGTCGTCTATGCCTTCACATGCCCACTTGGGGACTGTCAGTCCCAAAGATCTCAGTATATTGGAAAGACAACAACGTCTCTCTCTAAGCGATTAATAATGCACAAGCAACAGGGCTCCATTAAGGAGCATATAATCTCCTCACACAACCAGACCATCACCAGAGACATCTTAACAAGCAGCATAGAAATTATCGACAGGTACAACGACTTCAGGAGACTCGACATAAGCGAGGCCCTACACATCAAAAAGTCAAAACCAGCAATCAACAACTAATTAACACATAATTACATTCTACCCACTTCAAAACCCCGAACCAACACAGAAACAGTAGAAGCAAGAACACAGATCACGCAATGGCATATTAATACCCTTTATGCCATTGATCCACTTGTTCCTCTCAATCATATCCTTTATCACCTCACCCCAAGCGAATAAAAGCTTTGGCAGAGTATGGAAAATTTGTCTTTGAAAATATTAGGAGTGCCTTGCGAAACGCTTCGCTAGGCATCAGACCATAAATATAGTGTGAAAATGAGCTTTGGAGAGTTAATTTTTCAACTTCCCTCGACAGTGAAGAAAAACATAAGAAATATTGAGAAGATTCGTATTAGAATCATTAATCGTTAGAATCATAAAATCATTAGTCTAAGATGAAGTTAATGAGAGCATTAAACTGCTGTTGGAAAGTTTGTTTATATAATTCTCTTGATTGAAGATTTTATAATTCTGTTCAAAATTATATTAATCACGCTCATACTCTTTTAGAGATTATTAGCAATATTTGGGATGGCACTGCATCGAAGACTTTTGGTTGACAAAGAAGAGGCAGTTCAATTACCCTCTCCCGTTGGGTCTTTATTGTCTTGTCATCCAGAACTTTTCCTCAACAAATCAAAATTGTAGGTTTCATTAATCTTCTGATATGTGTAATATTGTCTTATGGACAATATATGTAAGAGATTCTTGGGTAAGGGGCTAGTGACCGTGTTCTTTGGTGAAAACTGGAAGAACATTATTAGTTGAATAACTTTCCGGTCTATTTCTCCTTTCCTTTGGATGCTTATAAGACTATCATGAGAGATAAACATAATGCGTCTTCCTGACCCTAAAGTGGGATGCTGTCTCTTCCTGCTGCTGCCTTTGTTACAGTTAAATATTTATATACTTAAGTTTGTTTCCCTCTGTGGTCACTTGCGTGTTCTCAAGTCTCACACTCGGGTCTCTTTCGTGGCCTTCCTCTGGTAATTAAAGTTTGAATACTTTATTGATATCTGTGTTTGTGTTCTGCCAAGATCTTTGTCACCTGAATTATGATCTTCTCATTCTGTGTTCAGCATTGATACTGTATCGTTCACCGAGAGATTTCTCCTAATATACTGCAACTGTGTAGGGTCTTTAATTCTCGTGTCGTTCACACATGGGTTCTCAATATAAATTCTTGCTTTTTGTGTAATTTTTCCAAACTTTACCGCAGTTTCTTCAACTTTTCTTCTCTCACAAACCATTGTTATATATCAATATTTTGATTCAAAATATAAGTTTTCAACAGACAGAAAATATTTTTCCCTCTTTACCTTTGAATGTGTGTTAGTCGCAGTTATGATGCTTTTCAGCCCGCGTGTTCAACATTATTCTAATGGCCTAATGACAATCTCCTCTGAATCTCCACATAAAGACGATGGTGCTGGATAGTTCTGCATGGAGCAAAGGGAGATCACAGCGAAGCAAAAGAGATATACGTGGCTACACACAGCTGTCGTTTGAGGTAAAATATGAAAATGCGAATGCGGCTAATTAAAAACATAAGCACGACTGTCTCATTAGCTGAATTTGCGTCATGAACATGATAGTTGTGCGTCTCTAGCGGTCAATGGAAGTTCAAGGGCATTTTAATCACCATATCACACACGTGGAGGTTAGATGGTTGGACTGTATATAACTGTTCCCCTCTCAGACCAGTGTCATTCCAACCTTCTACCAGCCCGCTGCCTTCAACCAGCCTGCTGCTCTCTACCGCCACCTCACCTTCACTGAACTTCAACATGAGGTGCGTGTTCTGGCTGTGGTTAAGCTGTCCTATAGGAAGTTCACATGTTCATAGCAGTTCTGTGCAAAGCTTGAGAGTAGTTATTCTAAGATGAACTCTGCTAGATGTATTATAAATTTACGACGTCATTTAACTGCTATGACTTAGCTTTTTGTGTGTTTTGTGCAAACAACTAAATTTGCGTTTTGTTCAAATCAGGGTTTCTCTAATTTACTGATTTTCTGAAAACTAAACAGTTTTATTAAACATTATTATGACTTCAAGAGACAGGCAGTATTATGGAATTCGTTTTGTCGTCGGGCCAAGAGTTTAAAGTATGGATTGTGCCTTAAAACCAACCACATTTTATGCTAATGGTGTTACAAAGGACATTACAACAGTAACACATTAACCTAACTCTCCATTCATCTGGGCTCTATTAGTGATTCGAACCGTGGACACCCAACGTGTGAAGCCGAAGCTCTAACGACCGAGCTATTGATACCGAGCTCGATACCGAGCTGAAAAACGTTGTCATATTAACTGCGTTATAGTCCACTTTTATTTCACAATGCAATACAGTGGCTATGTAATTTTTAGAGAATTAGTCGATATTTCCATGTAAATTGATAGTTCATTGACAAATCACCGAATCATCAGGTGCGCAGATAGACAAAATCTTCAGTTCAACTCTAAATGTTCCTGTATGATAACCATTACTTATTTTGTTGATAACCAGATCCATTTTGTATTGCCCAGAGCTGATGTTTACGATGTTATCGTTGTAAATGAGTACGCTGAGAGCTTCTCCATCTATGATAGCATTGCAATTAACTTAATTTTGTTTATTTATGTCACAACTGTAAACTTGTTGAGTCTATCGGATGTGGAGGGATTTGTGTAGTAGCAAAAAGTGTCTCATTCGGATAACTATAATCCCCCCCATTGTCATTATCATCCACGTAATCGTCAACCTCATCATCAACACCATCAATTAATATCACACCGCTCGGAGCCGGATCCGTTTATGGGCCCCCATCCTCTAGTCAAAGAGGGAATTTAACAGCTTTAACACCATGTTCATGGGCCCCTTGGTGTTAGTGGACCCTCCCTGGTGTTTGTGGACCCTTCCTTGTGTTTGTGGATCCCCCCTGGTGTTAGTGGATCCCCCTGGTGTTTGTGGACCCTTCCTTGTGTTAGTGGATCCCCCTGGTGTTAGTGGACCCTCCCTGGTGTTTGTGGATCCCCCTGGTGTTTGTGGGTTTTATGCCATGGCATACGCGACCTATAAGGTAAGGTGGCCTTGACCTCACTATCATCAACCTTGCCCTCAATAAACATTCTTATCACCGTCACCGTAACTATTTTACCTCAAACTTTTTTCTCTCTTCTCCCCTACAGGTACAGTTTCGTGCTGCTGGGTCTTCTGGCCTTCATGTGTGCCACTTCAGGCTACGTCCTGGAGGACCAGGACGACGCTCTCAGCGACACCGACGACCTTCCAGAAGGGGTCGTCCTCGAAAACTACGATGGGGACAGGTACGAAAACTTATGAGTAAACAGCTAAAAGAAAGCTGAAGTTCTCCACTACTGTTCTGTTCTCATTTTTTTTTGTCACAAAGATGAACCATCTTGCACCTGGCGTGTTCTTATTGATCAATATTGTAAGAATTGTTCGTCTTAGCAGTTCACAAAAACTTATCCTCGTCATCAGCTAGCCCCACGATGCACAATTGTTCACTGTTTTCTTTTGTTGCTGCACTAATGTGTCCTGTTGAGAGAACCTTCAGACTGAATACATACTAAATTTGTAATTTATGGTCATATGATTGTGACCCTGAAAGGTTCTTTTAACAGCTACTGAGTCTGTTGCTTATCCAGGAATAGAACGCAGTGAGGAAAATAAGAACGCAATGATATTTCCGTTTTCCAGTCAAGATCTAAATTAAGGAACAAACTGCAATCTCGTCTCTTGCTTAACACCTTTAATATCCAATGACCAGAGAAGTGTCTGAGGTGTTTTGCCTTTAATATTAGCAGAATTTGTTCACTGGTAACATGAAATATTTGAGAGTATATATATATATATATATATATATATATATATATATATATATATATATATATATATATATATATATATATATATAACAAATACTTGCATTTGTTAATATATATTATGTATTATACACTGCAGGGCCGAACAGATAGATGTTGCTGACATTGAATTAAGGAGAAACAGCCGCCAGAAGCACGGACGCCACCACGGTCACCACGGACATGGCAGCCACAGCCACGAACATCATCATAGACGCACAAGGAGGAGGAGGAGGAGGACTACAACCACCACGCCAACCACTACTAGCACAACTACCACCTCCACGACTACCACTACCGCAACTACCCCATCCTCCACCTCCACCACCACCGTCCCCACTACCGCGGGGTAGTGCCACACAGAAATTAACAACAAAAATTCCGTGTCAGTGTAGCTAACAAATGGAATGCACTAGGCAGTGATATGGTGGAGGCTGATTCCATACACAGTTTCAAATGTAGATATGATAGAGCCCAGTAGTCTCAGGAATATGTACACCAGTTGATTGATTTGTGAGAACCGGGAACAAAGAGCCAGAGCCCCGCAAGGACAACTAGGTGAATACAACTACCAACACCACTACCCCAACTACTAACATCACTATCCAAACTACCACCACCACTATCCCAACTACCACCGTATAGACCATTGATTCAGAAACGACACGTGTTTGGATTTTCGTAATACGACCATCGTAGCACAGACAACACCTGCTCACATTTAAAAATGATATTGTGTATGTTATCTTTACATCTTTCGTAACAGAAATAACAACAATATAGGTGCAAAAGGGTTGATGGCAGATTCATAACAAAAAACATGAAACCAAAAGAAACATTTAGAAGGTACAAGAAAAATGTACAAAATAAAGAATATGAACAGTGACGACAAAAACACAGTCAGGATCGTCAGCAAGAACATGAATGGCAGCTTAGGTAAACACCTAAGAGAAGAAGAACAACAATGGGTAACATAAAAACGAAAGAATCTATTAGAAGTGCAAAAACACACACGAATAAAATGAACGACAACACCATCAAGAGTTAAACAAGGACAAAAAAGGAGTAATAATGAAAGCAAATTAAAATGTATAAAACAAGAACGAAAGAAACAAAATATCAACACAAAACGACAAAGCAAGCAACACCCTCAACATCAACAAAGCAACAACATCAATAATGGTTACAGTGATTATGTTTTAAGATAAATTAACATAATTACTTTTGTAATAGTGTCAAGTGAAGAATACTTGCAGGTAAATTCAGTTCTATTCACTTACTAATAACATTAATAATATTTTATTTAGAAAAAATACACATGAGCAGATTACAGTAGTTACCTAGTGGGTAGAATATTTGTATATTTTATCACACCACAAATTAGATGCAACGTTTCGGTCATTAATACATCTTGAAGTTGAATAATTGAGTGGATGTAAATAGAAACTGCCTCGTATGGGCCAGTAGGCCTTCTGAAGAGACCTTCATTCATATGTTCTATGTTCTTTTTCTTAAATGTTATAATTCTGAGGCGAGAATCACGTTCAAATAACACGTTACAAAAGATTGTTGAGATGACGAGAGGCTCCTTATTAATTTAAAGTGACACGAAGAATTTTTGTAAAGTGACATGATGATATTGTCTACATGACTTGAAGCACATTATATTTAAGGGTGAAGGGAATTGTTGTTTAAATAACATGAAGATTGATATTGTTCAAATGATTTCAGGCATTTTACTGCTGTATTTGTTAAAAACAATTGGATAATAAAGATTAATATACTGCATGTATAGACTAAATGAATTCCAATCCTGGATTCCACGTATAATAATGGCGTGACTTTGATCATTACAACTCATCTAGCAGAATGTATACTATTCTATCATCTTCGTAGTTTGAATACACAAATCATACCATCGTCTAAATGGTATACCTGAGCTCACTCTGGTGTATTCTAGCGTCATCAAAACAAAACGTAATGTATCCAGTACACTGGACCAGTCATCATATGAAACAACGTAATTACAGAGGGCTTATTGACCTCTGTGACACCTTGTATCACCTCATCCATCTTGGTTATGTACTCGCTTGTTCAAGTCAACTTGTTCATGTAAAAACTTTAACGTAAAACGGCAACATGGAATTTTGGACTTTCCTTATTATGACTACTCATAGCCCAGTAGATTACGTGGCCCAGTAATCTCGTCAATGAAGATTTTATCATTCTGATCAAAATTATATTAATCACGCTCATATTCTTTTAGAAATTATTAGCAATATTTGGGATGCCACTGCATCAAAGACTTTTAGGTAGAAAATGAAGATGCAGTCCAACTGCCCTTTCCCGTTGACTCTTTATTGTCTTGTCATCCAGGAATTTTCCTCAACAAATCAAAATTGTAGATTTCATTAATTTTCTAATATGTGTAATATTGCCTTATGGATTATATCTATATAAGAAATTCTTGTGTAAGGGGCTGATGACTGTGTTCTTTTGTGAAAACCGGAAGAACATTATTAGTTGAATAACTATCCGGTCTATTTCTCCTTTCCTTGGATGCATTAAAGACTATCATGAGAGATAAACGTAATGCGTCTTGCTGACCCTAAAGTGGGATGCTGTCTCTTCCTGCTGCTGCCTTTGTTACAGTTAAATATTTATATACTTAAGTTTGTTTCCCTCTGTGGTCACTTGTGTGTTCTCAAGTCTCACACTCGGATCTCTGTCGTGGTCTTTGTCTGGAAAAGTTTGAATACGTCATTATTATCTGTGTTTGTGTTCTGACCAGGTTTTTGTCACCTGAATTATGATCTCCTCCTTTTGTGTTCAGCATTGTTGCTGTATCGTTCACCGAGAGATTTTTCCTAATATACTGCACCTGTGTAGAATTTTTCATTCTCGTGTCATTCACACATGGGTTCTCAATATTCATTCTTGCTTTTTGTGTAATTGTTTCAAACTTTACCGCAGTTTCTTTAAAGTTTCTTCTCTCATAAACCATTGTTATATCCATATTTTGATGCAAAATAAAACTTTTCAACAGACAGAAAATATTTTTCCCTCTTTACCTTTGAATTTATGTTAGTCGCAGTTATGATGCTCTTCAGCCCGCGAATTCAAACTTATTCTAATGGCTGTTCTAACGGCAGTCTTCTCCGAATCTCCACATAAAGACGTTGGTGGTGGATAGTTCTGCATGGATCAATAGGAGATCACAACGAAGCAAAAGAGATACACGTGGCCACACACAGCTGTCGTTTGAAACACAATTTGCAACTGCAATAAAATATGCAACCGCAAATGCGGCTAATAAAAGCGGCTGTCTCATTAGCAGAATTTGTGACATGAACTTAATAGTTCTGCGTCTCTAGCAGTGAATGGAAGATCAACGGCCATTAATCAACATATCACACACGTGGAGGCTAGATGGTTGGACTGCATATAACTGTTCCCCTCTCAGACCTGTGTCATTCCCACCTTCTACCAGCCCGCTGCCTTCAACCAGCCTGCTGCTCTCTACCGTCACCTCACCTTCACTAAACTTCAACATGAGGTGCGTGTTCTGGCTGTGATAAGCTGTCCAATTGGAAGCTCACATGTTCTTTGCTGTTCTGTGCAAAGTTTGAGAGTAATTATTCTAAGACAAACTCTGCTAGATGTATTATAAATTTACGACGTAATTTAACTGCTATGACTTAGCTTTTTGCGTTTTATTTGTGCAAACAACTAATTTTGCGTTCTGTTCAAACCAGGGTTTCTCTAATTTACTGATTTCCTTAAAACTAAATAGTTGTATTAAACATTAATACATGACCTCAAGAGACAGGCAGTGTTATGGAGATGAAAAGTCACAATAAAGTGGCTGAAAAATTTTTGACCAAACCAAACACTAGTAATTGAAGAGACAACGACGGTTTGGTCCCTCCTGGACCATTCTCAAGTCGATTGTCAATCGACTTGATAATGGTCGTGGACTGACCGAAACGTCTTCGTCTCATGAATTTCTAGTGTGTGGTTTGGTCAACAGTGTCATGAACTTCTTTTTGTCGTCTATAAACCTCCAACAGAATCATATTACTTATAGCGACTCTTAGACAAGAGATTAAAGTATGAATTGTGCCATAAAACTAACAACATTTTATACTAATGGTGTTACAAAGGACATTTCAGCAGTAACACAGTAACCTAACCTTCCATTCACCTGGGTTCTAGGAGATTCGAACCGTGGACACCCCAAGTGTGAAGTCGAAGCTGCGACATAAATTTGATAGTTCGAAGACCGAACTGAAAAACGTGGTCGTATTACGTTCATTACAGTCCCCTTTTATTTCATAATGCAGTACAGTGGTTAAGTAATTTTTCGAGGATTGGTCGATAGTTCCATTTAAATTAATAGTTCATTGTCAAATTACCAAATCTTCAAGTGCGTGAATAGACAAAATCATCAATTCAACTCTAGACATTCCTGTATGATAACCATTACTTTTTTGGTGATAACCAGAGCCATTTTGTATTGCCTAGAGCTGATGTTTACGATGTTATCGTTGTAAATGAGTACGCTGAGAGCTTCCTCGCCCATGATAGCATTGCTATTACCTTAATTTAGTTTATATGTCACAACTATAAACTTCCTGAGTCTATCCGATGTGGAGGGATTTGTGTAGTTGCGAAAAGTGTCTCATTCTGATAACTATAATCCACCTCATTGTCATTATCATCCACGTAATTGTCAACCCCCATCATCAACACCATCAATTTATATTACCTCACTCGGAGCTGGATCTGTTTACGGGCCCCCATCCTCTAGTCAGTCAGGGAATTAAACAGCTATAACACCATCTTGATGGGGCCCCCCTGGTGTTAGTGGACCCCCCTCGTGTTAGTGAACACTCCTATCTTTCTTGGTGTTAGTGGATCCCCCCAGGTGTTGATGTGTTTTAAACCACGACATACTTGACCTATTAGGTAAGATTGCCTTGACCTCACTATCAACAAACCTGCCTTCACCAAACATTCTTATCAGCGTCACTTTAACTATTTTACCTCTCACTCTTTTTTTTCTCATCTCTCCCCCTCAGGTTCAAATTCGTGCTGCTGGGTCTTTTGGCCTTCGTATGTGCCACTTCAGGCTACGTTCTGAAGGACCAGGACGACGCACTTGGCGACACCGACGACCGTCTAGAACGGGTCGTCTTCGAAGACGACGATGGGGACAGGTACGAAAACTTTTGAGTAAACTGCTAAAAGAAAGTTGAAGTTCTCCCCTATTGTTTTGCTCTCTCTTTTTTTTTGGGAGGGGGGGGGGGTTCAAAGATGAACCATCTTACACCTGGCGTGTTCTTATTGATCAATATCGTAAGAATTGTTCGTCTTAGCAGTTCACAAAAACTTATCCTCGTCATCAGCTAGCCCCACGATGCACAATTGTTCACTGTTTTCTTTAGTTGTTGTTGTTAAAGATTCGCTACTTGGAATAAACAGTTCCAAGTAGCACGGGCTATGGTGAGCCCGTAGTTTTTCTTTAGTTGCTGTACTAATGTGTCCTGTTGAGAGAACATTCAGAGAGAATACATACTGTACTTGTAATTTATGGTCATATGATTGTGACCCTGAAAAGTTCCTTAGATAGCAATCGAGTCTGTTGCTTATCCAGGAATATAACCCAGTGACGAAAATGAGAACGCAATGATATTTCCGTTTTCCAGTCAAGATCTAAATTAAGGAATAAACTGCAATCTCGTATCTTGCTTAACACCTTTAATATCCAATGACCAGAGAAGTGTCTGAGGTGTTTTGTCTTTAATATTAGCAGAATTTGTTAACTGGTAATATGAAATATTTGAATGGGTAGCATTTTTTTTACTCATAATATTTCCTTCTCGTATAATTCCCCTTTCCATTTCCATTATATAAATAAATATATAAATAATATATATATATATATATATATATATATATATATATATATATATATATATATATATATATATATATATATATATATATATATATATTGGTGTATACTGGCAGCAGGTTTTCTTTCAAACATGTTTCATTGAATATGACCGCATATTCTGTATTTATTACATAAGAATATTATTTTATAAATTATATTATTTATTTTTAAATAATATTATAATATTATGAATATTATTTTTTATAAATTATTATTTATAGAATATTAAGAATAAATATTTATTACATAAGAATATTACATATTACATATACATAAGAATAGAGCGACCTACCATGAACACCCAAATCACGGAACTATTTACTCTACCTACCATGAGAGTAAGGACAAGATAAGAACATATCGATGCCAACACAGAAGACAATGTCCAACATAACAGGCCAATTACATCGGATTAATCTTTGTGTTTAGATAGGAGATGCCTCGTATGGGCCAATAAGCCTTCTGCAGCCCCTATGTTTATCCCTTATGTATCCCCCCGTGTTTTCACCTTCATTGTATTATCACCTGACCTAATGCGGGTATAAAATCAACTAGTATTGTAAAGATCTGTTCACTTGAGAATGAACCATGGAGGTTCGAAACGTCGTGCAAATTATACAAATAAGTGTAATACACTCTATAGTAATTCTCTTCTTTTCTTCACCTTAAAAGTACGAAAATGAGTTTTGGAGAACTCCTATTTCAATTAAGCCCTGATGCTAAGAAAATAGTTAGAGGGATAGAAGCCCTAAACCAGAAAATAATAAATACAGAATATGCGGTCATATTCAATGAAATATATATATATATATATATATATATATATATATATATATATATATATATATATATATATATATATATATATATATATATATATATATATATATATATATATATATATATATATATATATATATATATATATAAATATATATATATATAGTGTGCAATTTTATAATAAGTGTAATACATTCTAAAATTATTCACTTCTTTTTCTTCACGTCGAAAAAGGATCATCACTTTTGGAGAACTCCTCTTCCAACTATACCCTGATGCAAGAGAACTAGTTAGAGGGATAGAAGCCCTCTATCGGGCTTATATATATATATATATATATATATATATGTCGTACCTAGTAGCCAGAACTCACTTCTCAGCCTACTATGCAAGGCCCGATTTGCCTAATAAGCCAAGTTTTCATAAATTAATATATTTTCTCTATTTTTTTTATTATGAAATGATAAAGCTACCCATTTCATTATGAATGAGGTCAGTTTTTTTATTGCAGTTAAAATTAGCGTAGATATAGGACCGAACCTAACCAACCCTACCTAACCTAACCTAACCTATCTTTATAGGGTAGGTTAGGTTAGGTAGCCGAAAAAGTTATGTTAGGTTAGGTTAGGTAGGTTAGGTAGTCGAAAAACAATTAATTCATGAAAACTTGGCTTATTAGGCAAATCGGGCCTTGCATAGTAGGCTCAGAAGTGAGTTCTGGCTACTAGGTACGACATATATATATATATATATATATATATATATATATATATATATATATATATATATATATATATATATATATATATATATATATATAACAAATACTTGAATTTGTTAATATAAATAATGTATTATACCCTGCAGGGCCGAACAGAGCGATTTTGGTGACACTGAATTATGGAGAAACAGCCTCGAAAAGCACGGACACGAATATGGTAGCCACAGCCACGAACATTATCATCATACCCATAAAAGAAGAACGTCGACGACTACAACCACCACTCCAACCACTACTACCAAAAGTACCACCACCGCCGCCCCAGCTACCACCACCGCCGCCCCAACTACCACCACCGCCGCCCCAGCTACCTCCACAGAAACATTTACCACCACCACCTCAGCTACCACCACCACCTCAGCTACCACCACCACCCCAGCTACCACCACCACCCCAGCTACCACCACCGCCGCCCCAACTTCCACCACCGACGCCCCAACTTCCATCATCGCCGCCCCAGCTACCTCCACAGAAATATTTACCACCACCACCCCAGCTACCACCACCGCCGCCCCAACTTCCACCACCGCCGCCCCAACTTCCACCACCGCCGCCCCAACTACCATCACCGCCGCCCCAACTTCCACCACCGACGCCCCAACTTCCATCATCGCCGCCCCAGCTACCTCCACAGAAACATTTACCACCACCACCTCAGCTACCACCACCACCCCAGCTACCACCACCACCTCAGCTACCACCACCACCCTAGTTACCACTATCGTCCCAGTTACCACCACCGCCCCAATTACCACCACCACTCCAGCTACCACTATCGCTCCAGTTACCACCACCGCCCCAACTACCACCACCACCCCAGCTACCACCAGCACCTCAGCTACCACCACCACCCCAGTTACCACTATCGTCCCATTTACCACCACCGCCCCAATTATCACCACCACCACCCCAGTTACCACTATCGTCCCAGTTACCACCACTGCCCCAATTACCACTACTACCCCAGCTACCACTATCGCTCCAGTTACCACCACCGCCCCAATTATCACCACTAAACCAGCTACCACTATCGCTTCAGTTACCACCACCGCCCCAATTACCACCACCACCCCAGTTACCACCACCACTACCCCAGCTATCACTATCGCTCCAGTTATCATCACCCCCCCAATTACCACCACCACCCCAGCTACCACTATCGCTTCAGTTACCACCACCGCCCCAATTACCACCACCACCCCAGTTACCACCACCACCACCCCAGCTATCACTATCGCTCCAGTTATCATCACCCCCCCAATTACCACCACCACCCCAGCTACCACTATCGCTTCAGTTAGCACCACCGCCCCAATTACCACCACCACCCCAGTTACCACCACCACCATCCCAGCTATCACTATCGCTCCAGTTATCATCACCCCCCCAATTACCACCACCACCCCAGTTACCACTATCGCTTCAGTTACCACCACCGCCCCAATTACCACCACCACCCCAGTTACCACCACCACCACCCCAGCTATCACTATCGCTCCAGTTATCATCACCCCCCCAATTACCACCACCACCCCAGCTACCACCACCGCCCCAATTACCACCACCACCCCAGTTACCACAACCACCACCCCAGCTATCACTATCGCTCCAGTTATCATCACCCCCCCAATTACCACCACCACCCCAGCTACCTCCACCACCACCACCCCAGCTACCACCACCACCACCACCCCAGCTACCACTATCGCCCCAGTTTCCACCACCACCCCAGCTACCACCACCACCATTGCCTCAACTACTACCACCACCCCAGCTACTACCACCACCCCAACTACCACCACCACCCTAGCTACAACCACCACCACCGCCCTAGCTACAACCACCACCACCGCCACCTCAGCCACCAATATCGCCCCAGTTACCACCACAGCCGCTCCACTACCACCACCCCCCCGATCAACACCGAACCGTAACAACCACCGCCGCCCACAACCACCACCACTGCCGTCCCACTTACCACCACCAATGGCGCAGTCATAGTGGGGTAGTGCCACAGAGACATTAAACAATTTTTTCAATGTCATAGTAACTAACAAATGGAATGCCCTAAGCAGTGATGTTGTAGAGACTGACTCCATACACAGTTTCAAATGTTGATATGATACAGCCCAAAAGACTCAGGAATCTGTACACCAGTTGAGTGATTGTTGAGAGCCGGAAACAAAAAGCTAGAGCTCAACCCCCGCAAGCACAACTAGGTGAGTACAACTACCACCACCACTACCCCAACTACTAACATCACTATCCCAACTACCACCACCACTATCCCAACTACCACCGTATAGACCATTGATTCAGAAATGACACGTGTTTGGATATTCATAATACGACCATCGTAGCACAGACAACACCTGCTCACATTTAAAAAAGATATTGTATATATTATCTTTACATTTTTCGTAACAGAAATAACAACAAGATAGATGCAAAAGGGTTGATGACAGATTCATAACAAAATCATGAATCCAAAAGAAACTTAAAAAGGTACAAGAAAAATGTACAAAATAAAAAATATGAACAGTGACGACAAAAACACAGCCAGGATCGGCAGCAAGAACATGAATGGTAGCTTAGGTAAACACCTAAGAGAAGAACAACAATGGGTAACATAAAAACGAAAGAATCTATTAAAATTGCAAAAACACACACGAATAAAATGAACGACAACACCATCAAGAACTAAACAAGGACAAGAAAGGAATAATAAAAGCAAATTAAAATGTATAAAACAAGAACGAAACAAACAAAATATCAACACAAAACGACAAAGCAAGCAACACCCTCAACATCAACAAAGCAACAACATCAATAATGGTTACAGTGAATATGTTTTAAGATAATTTAACCTAATTACTTTTGTAATAATGTCAAGTGAAGAATACTTGCAGGTAAATTCAGTTCTATTCACTTACTAATAATATTATATTTAAAAAAAAAAATACACAAGAGCAGATTACAGTAGTTACCTAGTGGGTAGAATATTTGAATATTTTATCACACCACAAATTACATGCAATGTTTCGGTCATTAATACATCTTGAAGTTGTGTGTCTGAGTTAATATAAATAGAAGCTGCCTCGTACGGGCCAATAGGTCTTCTGCAGAGACCGTCAATTTTATGTTCTTATGTTCTATGTTCTTAAATGTAATAATTTTGAGGCGGGAATCACGTTCAAATAACATATTACAAAAGATTGTTGAGATGACGAGAGGCTTCTTATTATTTTAAAGTGACACAAAGAATGTTTGTAAAGTGACATGAAGATATTGTCCACATGACTAAAAGCACATTATTGTTGATGGTGAAGGGAATTATTATTGTTTAAATAACATGAAGATTAATATTGTTCAGATGATTTTAGGCATTTTACTGCTGTATTTGTTAATAATTTTGAATAATAATGATGAATATACTGTATGGTATTGACTGAATTAATTCCAATCCTAAATTCTGTTTCTTACTGTAATATACAAAATTACTGATATCGGGCGAATGAAAATAATTTTTCCGATATTCAAACTTCAGCCTTTGTAACTTTAAAGCTGCCTTTTCTCTCTTTTGACCGCCACACCATACTGGTTGGCCCCTACCAACTTCCCAAATATACGTAACAATGGGGTAGCTATTTGAAAAAAATATATTAATTTTTTTAGATAGAGATATGTTGAGAGAGATAGAAAGAGAGGAGGAGAATGCCTAATGAATGATGTGGAAGGGGGGGGGGAGGTGCCTGCCCATCATTCATTAGACTTTTCGAAAAACTGGAGAGACGTGCAAGAAGGCTCATCTCTGGTCTTGACCAAATCTGGTTGGAATGGTCTGAATATCAGAGCCTGCTATACCGTCGTGACGTTAGTAGTTGTTATGTACAAAGACAATATTCTGAAAGTTTCGCACCTGGCCCATATCCTTGGACAACCAGTAGTTCGCATCCTTAGGAATAGGCTCTCAACTTTCAAGTGTCATACTGGAAGTGCCTTTCTAAAAAGCATCACTCCATCAGCAGTCATTTACTCCTAGGCTGACTCGCATCTGAAACTTGTTCACTCAACAGGTTGATACACGGGGAGATCAGGTCAACTGCTCACATGAAGACTCTGGCACACAGTTGGCTACAGGTTCATCCTGTTCCTTATATGATTGTTACCTAATGTTCTTAGTGAATAAAATTTATTCCTATTGATGCATATAACTGGCTCATGACAAAAATAGGCCTCTAGGAGTAGGTTTCAACTTAGCTTAAATCGGATTACAGCTCTTGCTTGCAGCTTCGTCAGGTTCTAAATATGATAATATGATAGTTTCCTATGTGATAGTTCCAAAGTTAAAATATTCAAAATCGGTCTTGGCTTACGAGTAATGAAAATTGTTCTAATGACTGTTCTAATGACAGTTTCCTCTGAATCTCAACATAACGACGATGGTGCTGGATAGTTCTGCATGGAGCAATGGGAGATCACATCGAAGCAAAAGAGATACACATGGCTACACAAAGCTGTTGTTTGAAGCAAAATATGAACAAGCGAAATGTGGCTAATTAAAAACTTCAGCACGATTGTCTCGTTAGCTGAATTTGCGTCATGAACTTGATAGTTCTGCGTCTCTAGCGGTCAATGAACGTTCAAGGGCATATTAATCACCATATCACACACGTGGAGGCTAAATGGTTGGACTGTATATAACTGTTCCCCTCTCAGACCTGTGTCATTCCAACCTTCTACCAGCCCGCTGCCTTCAACTAGCCTGCTGCTCTCAACCGTCACCTCACCTTCAGTAAACTTCAACATGAGGTGCGTTTTCTGGCTGTGGTTAAGCTGTCCAATTGGAAGCTCACATGTTCTTAGCTGTTCTGTGCAAAGGTTGAGAGTAGTTATTCTAAGATGAACTCTGCCTGATGTATTATAAATTTACGACGCAATTTAACTGCTATGACTTAGCATTTTGTGTTTTTTTGTGCAAACAACTAATTTTGCGTTTTGTTCAAACCTTATTAAATTCTCTAATTTACTGATTTTCTAAAAACTAAACAGTTTTATTAAACATTATTATAAGACTTCATGAGACAGGCAGTGTTATGGAATTCGTTTTGTCGTCTATCATTTGTCGTTGGGGCAAAAGTTTAAAGTATGAATTGTGTCAAAAAACCAACTACATTTTATGCTAATGGTGTTACAAGGGACATTACAAAAGTAACCCATTAACCTAACCTTCCATTCACCTGAGCTCTATAGGAGATTCGAACAGTGGACACCCCATGTGATAAGCCGAAGCTCCATCGACCGAACTATTGATACCGAGCTCGATACCGAGCTGAAAAACGTGGTCGTATTACCTGCACTACAGTCCACTTTATTTCATAATACAGTACAGTGGCTATGTAATTTTTAGGGGATTAGTCGATATTTCCATGTAAATTAATAGTTTGTTGTCAAATCACCGAATCTTTAAGTGCGCAGATAGATAGACAAAATCTTCAGTTCAACTCTAGACATTCCTGTATGATAACCATTACTTTTTTTGTTGATAACCAGATCCATTTTGCATTGCCCAGAGCTGATGTTTACGATGTTATCGTTGTAAATGAGTACGCTGAGAGCTTCTCCATCTATGATAGCATTGCTATTAACTTAATTTAGTTTATTTATGTCACAACTGTAAACTTGTTGAGTCTATCGGATGTGGAGGGATTTGTGTAGTTACAAAAAGTGTCTCATTCGGACAACTATAATCCACCCCATTGTCATTATAATCCACGTAATCGTCAACCTCATCATCAACACCGTCAATTAATATCACACCGCTCGGAGCCGGATCCGTTTATGGGCCCCCATCCTCTAGTCAAAGAGGGAATTTAACAGCTTTAACACCATGTTCATGGGGCCCCTTGGTGTTAGTGGACCCTCCCTGGTGTTTGTGGACCCTTCCTTGTGTTTGTGGATCCCCCCTGGTGTTAGTGGATCCCCCTGGTGTTTGTGGAACCTTCCTTGTGTTTGTGGATCCCCGTGGTGTTAGTGGATCCCCCTGGTGTTTGTGGGTTTTAGGCCATGGCATACTTGACCTATAAGGTAAGGTGGCCTTAACCTCACTATCATCAACCTTGCTCTCACCAAACATTCTTATCAGCGTCACCGTAACTATTTTACCTCACACTTTTTTCTCTCTTCTCCCCTACAGGTACAGTTTCGTGCTGCTGGGTCTTCTGGCCTTCATGTGTGCCACTTCAGGCTACGTCCTGGAGGACCAGAACGACGCTCTCAGCGACACCGACGACCTTCCAGTAGGGGTCGTCTTCAAAGGCTACGATGGGGACGGGTACGAAAACTTATGAATCAACTGCTAAAAGAAAGCTGAATTTCTCCACTATTGTTTTGCTCCCTTTTTTTTGTCACAAAGATGAACCATCTTGCACCTGGCGTGTTCTTATTGATCAATATTGTAAGAATTGTTCGTCTTAGCAGTTCACAAAAACGTATCCTCGTCACCAGCCAGCCCCACGATGCACAATTCTTCACTGTTTTCTTTTGTTGCTGCACTAATGTGTCCTGTTGAGAGAACCTTCAGACTGAATACATACTAAACTTGTAATTTATGGTCATATGATTGTGACCCTGAAAGGTTCTTTTAACAGCTACTGAGTCTGTTGCTTATCCAGGAATAGAACGCAGTGAGGAAAATAAGAACGCAATGATATTTCCGTTTTCCAGTCATGATCTAAATTAAGGAACAAACTGCAATCTCGTCTCTTGCTTAACACCTTTAATATCCAATGACCAGAGAAGTGTCTGAGGTGTTTTGTCTTTAATATTAGCAGAATTTGTTCACTGGTAACATGAAATATTTATATTTTTTTTTACTCATAATATTTCCTTCTCGTATATATATATATATATATATATATATATATATATATATATCTATATATATTTGTGTGTGTGTGTAAAAAATACTTGTATTTGTTAATATATATTATGTATTATACACTGCAGGGCCGAACAGAGCGATGTTGCTGACATTGAATTAAGGAGAAACAGCCGCCAGAAGCACGGACGCGGACACGGACACGGTCACCACGGTCACCAGGGCCACAACGGTCACCACGGTCACCACGGTCACCACGGACATGGCCGCCACAGCCACGAACATCATCATAGACGCACAACGAGGAGGAGGAGAACTACAACCACCACGCCAACCACTACTAGCACAACTACCACCACCACGACTACCACTACCCCAACTACCGTCACCACTACCCCAACTACCGTCACCACTACCCCAACTACCGTCACCACTACCCCAACTACCGTCACCACTACCCCAACAACTGTCACCACTACCCCAACTACCGTCACCACTACCCCATCTACCGTCACCACTACCCCAACCACCATCACCACTGGCTCGGGGTAGTGCCACAGAGAAATTAACAACAAAAATTCCGTGTCAGTGTAGCTAACAAATGGAATGCACTAGGCAGTGATGTGGTGGAGGCTGACTCCATACACAGTTTCAAATGTAGATATGATAGAGCCCAGTAGGCTCAGGAACCTGTACACCAGTTGATTGACGGTTGTGAACCGGGAACAAAGAGCCAGAGCTCAACTCCCGCAAGCACAACTAGGTGAGTACAACTACCAACACCACTACCCTAACTACTAACATCACCATCCCAACCACCACCACCACTATCCTAACTACCACCGTATAGACCATTGATTGAGAAGCGACACGTGTTTGGATTTTCGTAATACGACCATCGTAGCACAGACAACACCTGCTCACATTTAAAAAAGATATTGTATATGTTATCTTTACATTTTTCGTAACAGAAATAACAACAAGATAGATGCAAAAGGGTTGATGACAGATTCATAACAAAATCATGAACCCAAAAGAAACTTAAAAAGGTACAAGAAAAATGTACAACATTAAGAATATGAACAGTGACGACAAAAACACAGCCAGGATCGGCAGCAAGAACATGAATGGCAGCTTAGGTAAACACCTAAGAGAAGAAGAACAACAATGGGTAACATAAAAACTTAAGAATCTATTAAAATTGCAAAAACACACGCGAATAAAATGAACGACAACACCATCAAGAGTTAAACAAGGACAAAAAAGCAGTAATAATAAAAGCAAATTAAAATGTATAAAACAGGAACGAAACAAACAAAATATCAACACAAAACGACAAAGCAAGCAACACCCTCAACATCAACAAAGCAACAACATCAATAATGGTTACAGTGATTATGTTTTAAGATAATTTAACCTAATTACTTTTGTAATAATGTCAAGTGAAGAATACTTGCAGGTAAATTCAGTTCTATTCACTTACTAATAACATTAATAATATTTTATTTAGAAAAAATACACATGAGCAGATTACAGTAGTTACCTAGTGGGTAGAATATTTGTATATTTTATCACAACACAAATTACATGCAACGTTTCGGTCATTAATACATCTTGAAGTTGAATAATTGAGTGGATGTAAATAGAAACTGCCTCGTATGGGCCAGTAGGCCTTCTGAAGAGACTTTCATTCTTATGTTCTATGTTCTTTTTCTGAAATGTAATAATTTTGAGGCGAGAATCACGTTCAAATAACACGTTACAAAAGATTGTTGAGATGACGAGAGGCTCCTTATTAATTTAAAGTGACACGAAGAATTTTTGTAAAGTGACATGGTGATATTGTCCACATGACTTGAAGCACATTATATTTAAGGGTGAAGGGAATTATTGTTTAAATAACACGAAGATTGATATTGTTCAAATGATTTCTGGCATTTTACTGCTGTATTTGTTAAAAACAATTGAATAATAAAGATTAATATACTGCATGTATAGACTAAATGAATTACAATCCTGGATTCTACATATAATAATGGCGTGACTTTAATCATTACAACTCATCTAGCAGAATGTATACTATTCTATCATCTTCGTAGTTTGAATACACAAATCATACCATCGTCTAAATGGTATACCTGAGCTCACTCTGGTGTATTCTAGCGTCATCAAAACACAACGTTTTGTATCCAGTACACTGGACCAGTCATCATATGAAACAACGTAATTACAGAGGGCTTATTGACCCCTGTGACACCTTGTATTATCTCATCCATCTTGGTTATGTACTCGCTTGTTCAAGTCAACTTGGTCATATAAAAACTTTAACGTAAAACGGCAACATGGAATTTTGGACTTTCCTTATTGTGATTACTCATAGCCCAGTAGATTACGTGGCCCAGTAATCTCTTTAATGAAGATTTTATCATTCTGTTCAAAATTATATTAATCACGCTCATACTCTTTTAGAAATTATTAGCAATATTTGGGATGCCACTGCATCAAAGACTTTTAGGTAGACAATGAAGATGCAGTCCAACTGCCCTTTCCCGTTGACTCTTTATTGTCTTGTCATCCAGGACTTTTCCTCAACAAATCAAAATTGTAGATTTCATTAATTTTCTATGTGTAATATTGCCTTATGGATTATATCTATATAAGAAATTCTTGTGTAAGGGGCTGATGACTGTTCTTTTGTGAAAATCGGAATAACATTATTAGTTGAATAACTTTCCGGTCTATTTCTCCTTTCCTTGGATGCATTGAAGATTATCATGAGAGATAAACATAATGCGTCTTGCTGACCCTAAAGTGGGATGCTGTCTCTTCCTGCTGCTGCCTTTGTTAGTTAAATATTTATATACTTAAGTTTGTTTCCCTCTGTGGTCACTGTGTGTTCTCAAGTCTCACACTCGGATCTCTTTCGTGGCCTTCGTCTGGTAATTAAAGTTCGAGTACTTTATTGATATCTGTGTTTGTGTTCTGCCAAGATCTTTGTCACCTGAATTATGATCTCCTCCTTCTGTGTTCAGCATTGTTACTGTATCGTTCACCGAGAGAATTTTCCTAATATACTGCACCTGAGTAGAATTTTTAATTCTCGTATCGTTCACACATGGGTTCTCAATATCCATTCTTGATTTTTGTGTAATTGTTTCAAACTTTACCGCAGTTTCTTTAACGTTTCTTCTCTCATAAACCATTGTTATATCCATATTTTGATCCAAAATAAAAGTTTTCAACAGACAGAAATTTTTTTCCCTCTTTACCTTTGAATTTATGTTAGTCGCAGTTATGATGCTCTTCAGCCCGCGAATTCAAACTTATTCTAATGGCAGTCTTCTCCGAATCTCCACATAAAGACGTTGGTGGTGGATAGTTCTGCATGGATCAATAGGGGATCACAACGAAGCAAAAGAGATACACGTGGCCACACACAGCTGTCGTCTGAAACACTATTTGCGATTGCAATAAAATATGCAACTGCAAATGCGGCTGATAAAAGCGACTGTCTCATTAGCAGAATTTGTGACATGAACTTGATAGTTCTGCGTCTCTAGCAGTGAATGGAAGATCAACGGCCATTAATCAACCTATCACACACGTGGAGGCTAGATGGTTGGACTGTATATAACTGTTCCCCTCTCAGACCTGTGTCATTCCCACCTTCTACCAGCCCGCTGCCTTCAACAGCCTGCTGCTCTCAACCGTCACCTCACCTTCACTAAACTTCAACATGAGGTGCGTTTTCAAGCTGTGGTTAAGCTGTCCAATTGGAAGCTCATATGTTCTTTGCTGTTCTGTGCAAAGTTTGAGAGTAATTATTCTAAGACAAACTCTGCTAGATGTATTATAAATTTACGACGCCATTTAACTGCTATGACTTAGCTTTTTGCGTTTTATTTGTGCAAACAATTAAATTTACATTTTGTTCAAACCAGGGTTTCTCTAATTTACCGATTTCCTAAAAACTAAAAAAGTTTTATCTAACATAAATATAAGACCTCATGAGACAGGCAGTGTTATGGAGATGAAAAGTCACAATAAAGTGGCTGAAAAATGTTGGCCATACCACACACTAGTAATTGAAGAGACGACGACGTTTTGGTCCGTCCTGGACCATAATCAAGTCGATTGTCAATCGATTTAATAATGCAAAACCTGGTCGTATTACCTGCAATACAGTCCACTTTTATTTCATAATGCAGTACTGTGGCTAAGTAATTTTTCGAGGATTGGTCGATAGTTCCGTGTAAATTAATAGTTCATTGTCAAATCACGAAGTGAATAGGCAAAATCATCAATTCAACGCTTGACATTCCTGTATGATAACCATTACTTTTTTGGTGATAACCAGATCCATTTTGTATTGCCTAGAGCTGATGATTACGTTTACGATGTTATCGTTGTAAATGAGTACGCTGAGAGCTTTCTCACCCATGATAGCATTGCTATTAACTTAATTTAGTTTATATATGTCACAACTGTAAATTTCTTAAGTCTATCCGATCTGCAGGGATTTGTGTAGTTACGAAAAGTGTCTCATTCTGATAATTGTAATCCACCTCATTGTCATTATAATCCACGTAATCGTCAACCCCCATCATCAATATATATTACCCCATTCGCAGCCGGATCTGTTTACGGGCCCCCATCCTCTAGTCTGTGCGGGTATTCAACAGCTATAACACCATCTTGATGGGGCCCCTCTGGTGTTAGTGGACTACCCCTGGTGTTGATAGGTTTCAGGCCATGACATACTTGACCTATAAGGTAAGGTGGCCTTGATCTCACTATCAACAAACCTGCCCTCACCAAACATTTTTATCAGCGTCACTTTAACTATTTTACCTCTCACTCTTTTTTGTCTCACCTCTCCCCCTCAGGTACAAATTCGTGCTGCTGGGTCTTTTGGCCTTCGTATGTGCCACTTCAGGCTACGTTCTGAAGGACCATTACGACGCACTTGGCGACACCGACGACCGTCCAGAACGGGTCGTCTTTGAAGACGACGATGGGGACAGGTACGAAAACTTTTGAATAAACTGCTAAAAGAAAACTGAAGTTCTCCCCTATAGTTTTGCTTTTTTTTTTTTTTTTGGTTTCAAAGATGAACCATCTTACACCTGGCGTGTTCTTATTGATCAATATCGTAAGAATTGTTCGTCTTAGAAGTTGACAAAAACGTATCCTCGTCACCAGCCAGCCCCACGATGCACAATTGTTCACTGTTTTCTTTAGTTGCTGCACTAATGTGTCCTGTTGAGAGAACATTCAGAGTGAATACATACTGTACTTGTAATTTATGGTCATATGATTCTGACCCTGAAAAGTCCCTTAGATAGCTACCGAGTCTGTTGCTTATCCAGGAATATAACGTAGTGAGGAAAATGAGAACGCAATGATATTTCCATTTTCCAGTCAAGATCTAAATTAAGGAATAAACTGTAATCTCGTATCTTGCTTAACACCTTTAATATCCAATGACCAGAGAAGTGTCTGAGGTGTTTTGTCTTTAATATTAGCAGAATTTGTTAACTGGTAACATGAAATATTTGACTGTGAAGCTTTTTTTTTTATTCATAATATTTCCTTCTCGTATAATTCCTCTTTCCATTTCCATTATATAAATAAATATATAAACTATTTATATATATATATATATATATATATATATATATATATATATATATATATATATATATATATATATATATATATATATATATATATATATATATATATATATATATATATTCTACCCACCTCAAGACTCCGCTCCAATATAGAAGCATCAAGAAATATGAACCAATAGGCTTTCTACAATTACTTCCATTCAATACCCATTGTTTCGTGTTCTGTCTTGTGTTTGAATTTAATACCCATTCAATACCCATTGTTGAAAGTTTGTTTTCACCTCATCCACCTCACCCAAATGTAGATATAAAACTGAAGATGTGTAAGCTCTGTTCAGTTTCAGTTGTGTGTTTGTAAACTAAAGTCTTTGAAAATGTAATAAGTTTTACGAAACGCGCTCAAGTGTCGCGTCAGACTAGAAATAAAAATGAATTTTGGAGAATTGATCTTTGAATTACCATCAACAGTGAAAAGAAACGTAAGAAAGATCGAGAAAATTCGTGTTAGAATTATTAATTTTACTTTTTCGGTCATATTTAATAATATATATATGTAAAAAATACTTGTATTTTTTAATATATATTATGTATTATACACTGCAGGGCCGAACAGAGCGATGTTGCTGACATTGAATTAAGGAGAAACAGCCGCCAGAAGCACGGACGCGGCCACGGTCACCACGGTCACCAGGGCCACAACGGTCACCACGGACATGGCCGCCACAGCCACGAACATCATCATAGACGCACAACGAGGAGGAGGAGAACTACAACCACCACGCCAACCACTACTAGCACAACTACCACCACCACGACTACCACTACCCCAACTACCGTCACCACTACGCCAACTACCGTCACCACTACCCCAACTACCGTCACTACTACCCCAACTACCGTCACCACTACCCCAACTACCGTCACCACTACCCCAACTACCGTCACCACTACCCCAACTACCGTCACCACTACCCCAACTACCGTCACCACTACCCCAACTACCGTCACCACTACCCCAACTACCGTCACCACTACCCCAACCACCATCACCACTGGCTCGGGGTAGTGCCACAGAGAAATTAACAACAAAAATTCCGTGTCAGTGTAGCTAACAAATGGAATGCACTAGGCAGTGATGTGGTGGAGGCTGATTCCATACACAGTTTCAAATGTAGATATGATAGAGCCCAGTAGGCTCAGGAATCTGTACACCAGTTGATTGACGGTTGTGAACCGGGAACAAAGAGCCAGAGCTCAACTCCCGCAAGGAGAACTAGGTGAGTACAACTACCACCACCACTATCCCAACTACCACCGTATAGACCATTGACTGAGAAGCGACACAAGTTTGGATTTTCGTAATACGACCATCGTAGCACAGACAACACCTGCTCACATTTAAAAAAGATATTGTATAGGTTATCTTTACATTTTTCGTAACAGAAATAACAACAAGATAGATGCAAAAGGGTTGATGACAGATTCATAACAAAATCATGAACCCAAAAGAAACTTAAAAAGGTACAAAAAAAATGTACAAAATTAAGAATATGAATAGTGACGACAAAAACACAGCCAGGATCGGCAGCAAGAACATGAATGGCAGCTTAGGTAAACACCTAAGAGAAGAAGAACAACAATGGGTAACATAAAAACGAAAGAATCTATTAAAATTGCAAAAACACACACGAATAAAATGAACGACAACACCATCAAGAGTTAAACAAGGACAAAAAAGGAGTAATAATGAAAGCAAATTAAAATGTATAAAACAAGAACGAAAGAAACAAAATATCAACACAAAACGACAAAGCAAGCAACACCCTCAACATCAACAAAGCAACAACATCCATAATGATTACAGTGATTATGTTTTAAGATAATTTAACCTAATTACTTTTGTAATAATGTCAAGTGAAGAATACTTGCAGGTAAATTCAGTTCTATTCACTTACTAATAGTATTAATAATATTTTATTTAGAAAAAATACACATTAGCAGATTACAGTAGTTACCTAGTGGGTAGAATATTTGTATATTTTATCACACCACAAATTACATGCAACGTTTCGGTCATTAATACATCTTGAAGTTGAATAATTGAGTGGATGTAAATAGAAACTGCCTCGTATGGGCCAGTAGGCCTTCTGAAGAGACCTTCAATCTTATGTTCTATGTTCTTTTTCTTAAATGTAATAATTCTGAGGCGAGAATCACGTTCAAATAACACATTACAAAAGATTGTTGAGATGACGAGAGGCTCCTTATTAATTTAAAGTGACACGAAGAATTTTTGTAAAGTGACATGATGATATTGTCCACATGACTTGAAGCACATTATATATAATGGTAAAGGGATTATTGTTTTAATAACACGAAGATTGATAATGTTCAAATGATTTCAGGCATTTTACTGCTGTATTTGTTAAAAACAATTGAATAATAAAGATTAATATACTGCATGTATAGACTAAATGAATTCCAATCCTGGATTCCACGAATAATAATGGCGTGACTTTGATCATTACAACTCATCTAGTAGAATGTATACTATGCTACCATCTTCGTAGTTTAAATACACAAATCATACCATCGTCTATATGGTATACCTGAGCTCACTCTGGTGTATTCTAGCGTCATCAAAACAAAACGTAATGTATCCAGTACACTGGACCAGTCATCATATGAAACAACGTAATTACAGAGGGCTTATTGACCTCTGTGACACCTTGTATCACCTCATCCATCTTGGTTATGTACTCGCTTGTTCAAGTCAACTTGTTCATATAAAAACTTTAACGTAAAACGGCAACATGGAATTTTGGACTTTCCTTATTATTACTACTCATAGCCCAGTAGATTACGTAGCCCAGTAAACTCTTCAATGAAGATTTTATCATTCTGTTCAAAATTATATTAATCCGCTCATATTCTTTTAGAAATTATTAGCAATATTTGGGATGCCACTACATCAAAGACTTTTAGGTAGACAATGAAGATGCAGTCCAACTGCCCTTTCCCGTTGGCTCTATATTGCCTTGTCATCCAGGACTTTTCCTCAACAAATCAAAATTGTAGATTTCATTAATTTTCTAATATGTGTAATATTGCCTTATGGATTATATCTATATAAGAAATTCTTGTGTAAGGGGCTGATGACTGTGTTATTTTGTGAAAATCGGAATAACATTATTAGTTGAATAACTTTCCGGTCAATTTCTCCTTTCCTTGGATGCATTGAAGAGTATCATGAGAGATAAACGTAATGCGTCTTGCTGACTCTAAAGTGGGATGCTGTCTCTTCCTGCTGCTGCCTATGTTACAGTTAAATATTTATATACTTAAGTTTGTTTCCCTCTGTGGTCACTTGCGTGTTCTCAAGTCTCAAACTCGGATCTCTTTCGTGGCCTTCGTCTGGTAATTAAAGTTTGAATACGTCATTATTATCTGTGTTTGTGTTCTGCCAAGATTTTTGTCACCCGAATTATGATCTCCTTCTGTGTTCAGTATTGTTACTGTATCGTTCACCGAGAGATTTCTCCTAATATACTGCAACTGAGTAGGATTTTTAATTCTCGTTACATTCACACATGGGTTCTCAATATCCATTCTTGCTTTTTGTGAAATTGTTTTAAACTTTACCGCAGTTTCTTCAACTTTTCTTCTCTCACAAATCATTATTATATATCAATATTTTGATGCAAAATATAAGTTTTCAACAGACAGAAAATATTTTTCCCTCTTTACCTGTCAATTTATGTTAGTCGCAGTTATGATCATAACTGCGACTAACATAAATTACATAAATTAAATAACTAATAAATAATAAATTAAATAACATAAAAACATAAATAGAGCATCGATGCTCTTCAGCCCGCGTATTCAAACTTATTCTAATGGCTGTTCTAATGACAGCTTCCTTTGAATCTCCACATAAAGACGTTGGTGATGGATAGTTCTGCATGGATCAATATGAGACCACAGCGAAGCAAAAGAGACATATGTGGCCCCATTTAGCTGTCGTTTGATATAAAATATGCAACTGCAATAAAATATTGAACTGCAAATGCGGCTAATAAAAACATATGCACGACTGCCTCAATAGAAGAAATTGCGACATAAATTTGATACTTCTGTGTCTCTTGCAGTCAATGTAAGATCAAGGGCCATTAATCACACACGTGGAGGCTAGATCGTTGGACTGTATATAACTGTTCCCCTCTCGGACCTGTGTCATTCCCACCTTCTACCAGCCCGCTGCCTTCAACTAGCCTGCTGCTCTCTACCGTCACCTCACCTTCACTAAACTTCAACATGAGGTGCGTGTTCTGGCTGTGATAAACTGTCCAATTGGAAGCTCATATGTTCTTTGCTGTTCATGTGCAAAGCTTGAGAGTAGTTATTCTAAGATGAACTCTGCTAGATGTATTCTAAATTTCCGACGCCATTTAACTGATATGACTTTTTGCGTTTTATTTGTGCAAACAACAAAATTTGCGTTCTGTTCAAACCAGGGTTTCTCTAATTTACTGATTTCCTTAAAACTAAATAGTTGTATTAAACATTAATACATGACCTCAAGAGACAGGCAGTGTTATGGAGATGAAAAGTCACAATAAAGTGGCTGAAAAATGTTGACCAAACCACACAATAGAAATTGAAGAGACGACGACGGTTTGGTCCCTCCTGGACAATTCTCAAGTCGATTGTCAATCGACTTGATAATGGTCGTGGACTGACCGAATCGTCTTCGTCTCTTGAATTTCTAGTGTGTGGTTTGGTCAACAGTGTCATGAACTTCTTTTTGTCGTCTATAAACCTCCAACAGCATCATAATACTTATAGCGACTCTTATACAAGAGATTAAAGTATGAACTGTGCCATAAAACTAACAACATTTTATACTAATGGTGTTACAAAGGACATTTCAGCAGTAACACAGTAACCTAACCTTCCATTCACCTGGGTTCTAGGAGATTCGAACCGTGGACACCCCAAGTGTGAAGTCGAAGCTGCGACAAAAATTTGATAGTTCGAAGACCGAACTATTGATACCGAGCTCGATACCGAACTGAAAAACGTGGTCGTATTACGTTCATTACAGTCCCCTTTTATTTCATAATGCAGTACAGTGGTTAAGTAAGTTTTCGAGGATTGGTCGATAGTTCCATGTAAATTAATAGTTCATTGTCAAATCACCAAATCTTCAAATGCGTGAATTGACAAAATCATCAATTCAACTCTAGACATTCCTGTATGATAACCATTACTTTTTTGGTGATAACCAGAGCCATTTTGTATTGCCTAGAGCTGATGTTTACGATGTTATCGTTGTAAATGAGTACGCTGAGAGCTTCCTCAGCCATGATAGCATTGCTATTACCTTAATTTAGTTTATATATGTCACAACTATAAACTTCCTGAGTCTATCTGATGTGGAGGGATTTGTGTAGTTGCGAAAAGTGTCTCATTCTGATAACTATAATCCATCTTATTGTCATTATCATCCACGTAATTGTCAACCCCATCATCAACACCATCAATTTATATTACCTCACTCGGAGCCGGATCTGTTTACGGGCCCCCATCCTCTTGTCAGTTAGGGAATTAAACAGCTATAACACCATCTTGATGGAGCCTCTTGGTGTTAGTGGACCCCCCTCGTGTTAGTGAACACCCCTATCTCCCTTGGTGTTAGTGGATCCCCCCTGGTGTTGATGTGTTTTAAGCCATGATATACTTGACCTATTAGGTAAGGTTGCTTTGACCTCACTATCAACAAACCTGCCTTCACCAAACATTCTTATCAGCGTCGTTTTAACTATTTTACCTCTCACTCTTTTTTTTCTCACCTCTCCCCCTCAGGTTCAAATTCGTGCTGCTGGGTCTTTTGGCCTTCGTATGTGCCACTTCAGGCTACGTTCTGAAGGACCAGGACGACGCACTTGGCGACACCGACGACCGTCCAGAACGGGTCGTCTTCGAAGACGACGATGGGGACAGGTACGAAAACTTTTGAATAAACTGCTAAAAGAAAACTGAAGTTCTCCCCTATTGTTTTGCTCTCTTTTTTTTTGTCTCAAAGATGAACCACCTTACACCTGGCTTGTTCATATTGATCAATATCGTAAGAATTGTTCGTCTTAGCAGTTCACAAAAACTTATCCTCGTCATCAGCTAGCTCCACGATGCACAATTGTTCACTGTTTTCTTTAGTTGTTGTTGTTAGTAGCACGGGCTATGGTGAGCTCGTAGTTTTTCTTTAGTTGCTGTAATAATGTGTCCTGTTGAGAGAACATTCAGAGAGAATACATACTGTACTTGTAATTTATGGTCATATGATTGTGACCCTGAAAAGTTCCTTAGATAGCAATCGAGTCTGTTGCTTATCCAGGAATATAACCCAGTGACGAAAATGAGAACGCAATGATATTTCCGTTTTCCAGTAAAGATCTAAATTAAGGAATAAACTGCAATCTCGTATCTTGCTTAACACCTTTAATATCCAATGACCAGAGAAGTGTCTGAGGTGTTTTGTCTTTAATATTAGCAGAATTTGTTAATTGGTAACATGAAATATTTGAATGGGTAGCTTTTTTTTTACTCATAATATTTCCTTCTCGTATAATTCCCCTTTCCATTTCCATTATATAAATAAATATATAAACTATTATATTATATTATATATATATATATATATATATATATATATATATATATATATATATATATATATATATATATATATATATAACAAATACTTGAATTTATTAATATGTATTATGTATTATACCCTGCAGGGCCGAACAGAGCGAATTTGCTGACATTGAATTACGGAGAAACAACCTCGAAAAGCACGGACACGGTCTCGGACACGGACACGGACACGAATATGGTAGCCACAGCAAAGAAAAGTGTCATCATATCCAAACAAGGACGACGGGGACGACTTCAACCACCACTCCAACCACTACTACCACAGTTACCACCACCACCACCGGACCACCACCGGCGCTGGGATAGTGGGGTAGTGCCACAGAGACATTAAAACAATTTTTTCAATGTCATAGTAACTAACAAATTGAATGCCCTAGGCAGTGATGTTGTAGAGACTGACTCCATACACAGTTTCAAATGTTGATATGATATAGCCCAAAAGGCTCAGGAGTCTGTACACCAGTTGAGTGATTGTTGAGAGCCGGAAACTAAGAACTAGAGCTCAACCCCCGCAAGCACAACTAGGTGAATACAACTACCACCACTATTACTCCATCTACCACCACCACTACCCCAACTACCAACATCACTACCCCAACTACCACCACCACTATCCCAACTACCACCGTATAGATCATTGATTGAGAAATGACACGTGTTTGAATTTTCGTAATACGACCATCGTAGCACAGACAACACCTGCTTGCTTTTATTAAAGATATTATATATGTTATCTTTACATCTTTCGTAACAGAAATAACAGCAAGATAGATGCAAAAGGGTTGATGACAGATTCATAACAAAAAACATGAAACCAAAAGAAACTTAAAAAGGTACAAGAAAAATGTACAAAATAAAGAATATGAACAGTGACGACAAAAACACAGCCAGGATCGGCAGCAAGAACATGAATGGCAGCTTAGGTAAACACCTAAGAGAAGAACAACAACAATGGGTAACATAAAAACGAAAGAATCTATTAAAATTGCAAAAACACACGCGAATAAAATGAACTACAACACCATCAAGAGTTAAATAAGGACAAAAAATGAGTAATAATAAAAGCAAATTAAAATGTATAAAACAAGAACGAAACAAACAAAATATCAAGACAAAACGACAAAGCAAGCAACACCCTCAACATCAACAAAGCAACAACATCAATAATAGTTACAGTGATTATGTTTTAAGAGAAATTAACCTAATTACTTTTGCAATAATGTCAAGTGAAGAATACTTGCAGGTAAATTCAGTTCTATTCACTTACTAATATTATTAATAATATTATATTTAGAAAAAAATACACATTAGCAGATTACAGTAGTTACCTAGTGGGTAGAATATTTGTATATTTTATCACACCACAAATTACATGCAATGTTTCGGTCATTAATACATCTTGAAGTTGTGTGTCTGTGTTAATATAAATAGAAGCTGCCTCGTACGGGCCAATAGGTCTTCTGCAGAGACCGTCATTCTTATGTTCTATGTTCTTCTTCTTATATGTAACAGTTTTGAGGCGAGAATCACGTTCAAATAACATGTTACAAAAGATTGTTGAGATGACGAGAGGCTTCTTATTATTTTAAAGTGACACGAAAAATTTTTGTAAAGTGACATGAAGATATTGTCCACATGACTAAAAGCACATTATTGTTGATGGTGAAGGGAATTATTATTGTTTAAATAACATGATGATTAATATTGTTCAGATGATTTCAGGCATTTTACTGCTGTATTTGTTTAACAATTTTGAATAATAAAGATTAATATACTGTATGTATGGACTGAATAATTCCTATCCTGGATTCCACGTATAATAACTGCGTTCCGTTGATCATTACAACTCGTCTAGTAGAATGTATACTATTCTACCATCTTCGTAGTTTGAATACACAAATCATACCATCGTCTAAATGATATACCTGAGCTCACTCTGGTGTATTCTAGCGTCATCAAAACAAAACGTATTGTATCCAGTACACTGAACCAGTCATCATATGAAACAACGTAATTACAGAGGGCTTATTGACTCCTGTGACACCTTGTATCAACTCATCCATCTTGATTATGTACGTCGGTAGTTGTAATGTACAAAGACAACATTCTCAAAGCTCCGCACCTGGCCCAAATCCTTGGACAACCAGTAATTCGCATCGTTAGCAGTAGGCTCTCAACTTTCAATAGTCTCATGCGGGAAGTGCATTTCTCAAGAGCATGAGTCCATCAGCGATCATTCACTCCTAGGCTGACTCACATCTGGAACGTGTTCACTCAACAGGTTAATGCACAGGAAGATCAGGTCAACTGCTCACATGAAGGCTCTGATACACAGCTGACAACAGGCTCATCCTGTTCCTTATATGATTGTTACATAATGTTGTTAATAAAGTTTATTCCTATTGATGCATATAACAGGCTCATGACATATATAGGCCTCTGGGAGTAGGTTTCAACTTAGCTCAAATAGGATTACAGCTCTTGCTTGCAGCTTCGCCAGGTTCCTTATATCATAATATGATAGTTTCAAAGTTAGAATACCCAAAATCGCTCTTGGCTTTCGCGTGTTCTAACTTGTTCTAATGAATCTCTGAATCTCAACATAACGACGATGGTGCTGGATAGTTCTGCATGGAACAATGGGATGTCACAGCAAAGTAAAAGAGATGCACGTGGCTACACACAACTGTTGTTTGAAGCAAAATATGAAAATGTTTAATGCCGCTAATAAAAAACCTAAGCACAACTGTCTCATTAGCTGAATTTACGTCATGAACTTGATAATTCTGCATCTCTAAAGGTCAATGGAAGTTCAAGGGCAACTTAATAACCATATCAGACACGTGAAGGTTAGATAGTTGGACTGTATATAACTGTTTCCCCTCTCAGACCTGCGTCATTCTCACCTGCTACCAGCCTGCTGCTCTCTATCGTCAACTCACCTTCACTAAACTTCAACATGAGGTGCGTTTTCTGGTTGTGGTTAAGCTGTCCAATTAGAAGCTCACATGTTTATAGCTGTTCTGGGCAATGCTGGAGAGTACGTATTTTAAGATGAACTCTGCTAGATGTATTATAAATTTACGACGTCATTTAACTGCTATGACTTAACATCTTGCGTTTTTTTTGTGCAAACAACTAAATTTGCGTTTTGATCAGACCTAATTAAATTCTCTAATTTACTGATTTTCTAAAAAGTAAGCAGTTTTATTAAACATTATTATAAGATCTCAAGAGACAGGCAGTGTTATAGAATTCGTTTTGTCGTCTATCCTTTGTCGTTGGGGCAAAAGTTTAAAGTATGAATTGTGACATAAATCCAACCACATTATATACTAATGGTGTTACAAATGATATTACAACAGTAACCTAACCTTACATTCAACTGGGTTCTAGGAGATTCGAACCGTGGACACCTCATGTTTGAAGCCGAAGCTCTATCGACCGAGCTATTGATACCGAGCTGAAAAACATGGTCGTATTACCTGCGTTACAGTTCACTTTTATTTCATAATGCAATACAGTGGCTATATTATTTTCGAGGATTAGTCGATATTTCCATGTTCACTAATAGTTCATTGTCAAATAACCCAATTTTCAAGTGCGTGGATAGACTAAATCATCAGTTCAACTCTAAACATTCCTGTGATAACCATTACTCTTTTCGGTGATAACCAGATTCATTTTGTATTGCCTAGAGCTGATGTTTACGATGTAATGGTAATTTATGAGAGCTTCCTCGCCCATGATAACATTGCTATTAATTTAGTTTATATATGTCACAACTGTAAACTTCTTGAGTCTATCCGATGTGGAGGGATTTGTGTAGTTACGAAAAGTCTCATTCTGATAACTATAATCCACTCCATTGTAATTATCATCCACCTAATCATCAACCCCCATCATCAATAACATCAATTTGTATTACCCCACTCGAGCCAGATCTGTTTACTGGCCCCCATCCTCTAGTCAGTCAGGGAATTCAACAGCTATAACACCATCGTGATGGGGCCCCCTGGTGTTAATGGATCCTCCCATGGTGTTAGTGGATCCTTCCCTGGTGTTAGTGGATCCCCCCTGGTGTTGGTGTTTTTCAGGTCATGGCCTATTTGACCTATAAGGTAATATGGTCCTTATCTCACTATCAACAAACCTGCTCTCACCAAGGATTCTTATCAGCGTCACATTAACTATTTTACCTCATTTTTTTCTCTCTTCTCCCCCATCAGGTACAGTTTCGTGCTGCTGGGTCTTCTGGCTTTCGTGTGTGCCAATTCCGGCTACGTATTGAAGGACAAGGACGACGCACTTGGCGACACCGACGACCTTCCAGAACTGGTCGTCTTCGAAAACGACGATGGGGACAGGTACGAAAAGTTATGAGTAAACTGCTAAGAAAAAGCTGAATTTCTCCACTGTTGTTCTGCTCTTATTTTTTGTTCTCAAAGATAAATCATCTTACACCTGGAGTGTTCTTATTGATCAATATCGTTAGAATTGTTCGTCTTAGCAGTTCACAAAAACTTATCCTCGTCACCAGCCAGCCCCACGATGCACAATTGTTCACTGTTTTCTTTTGTTGCTGCACTAATGTTTCCTGTTGAGAGAACCTTCAGACTGAATATACACACTGTACTTGTAATTTATGGTCATATGATTGTGACCCTGAAAGGTTCTTTTAACAGCTACTGAGTCTGCTGCTTATCCAGGAATAGAACGCAGTGAGGAATAGGAGAACGCAATGATATTTCCGTTTTCCAATCAAGATCCTAATTAATGAACAAACTTCAATCTCGTATCTTTCTTAACGGGGTTCTAATGGTTCGGGATCTTGAAGTGGGTAAAATATAGTAATGTATTAATTGGCTGTTGATTGCTGGTGTTGACTTATTTTTATGTGTAGGGCCTCGTTGATGTCGAGTCTCCTGCTATCGCTGTGGACGAAACAATCAGGATGATGATGGACAGAGTGTAACGTGATCCGACTTGTATTCCTCTTGACATACCAGAGAGCATACAGAGAAAGTTACTCCAAGCCTTCACTAAAGAGGCACCCTTCTTGAGTCCCGATGGGCGCATGTATAAGCAAGTAGATAGGATCGCCTTGGGTTCTCTCCTAGGTGTCATGTTTGCGAACTTCTAGATGGGCACCATAGAGCAGAGGGTTTTAGTTGACATGGACATGAAACCCGCCATATACTGCAGGTATGTTGACAACACTTTTATGCAGGTATCAGATGTCAGATGTCTGTAGCAGCTGAAAGAGGCATTCGAGCAAAATTCGGTGTTAATTTTCACTTACGAGATGGAGAGCGATGGGAAGCTGCCCTTTCTAGGTGTAACAGTCACAGAAAGGAATGGTGTCTTCCATACTGCAGTCTACACTAAGGAAACAAACATAGGAATGGGCCTTAATGACAATAATGTCTGCCTAGACTGGTACAAGAGGAGTGTTGTCAACGCTTACGTCGACAGAGCTCTTACTCACAGCTCTGGTTGGAAGCAAGTCGATGAAGAACTCTGCAGTGTAAGGCAGGTCATAGTCAACAATAACTTCATTAACGGTTATGTTGAAGACGTCATAAAAAGAAAGGTGAAACGCCATGCAACCTCTGAAGAGTACACTAACACAACACTTGTACCTCCTATTAGACTGTTTTTACTGGAACTTCTTTACGACGGCTTATAAAGCTGAGGAAAGTGTCCTGAAATATATTATTAATAGGAACGTTATCCCAACAGACAAAATCAGAAGATACAATTGACAATGTATTACAAAAACAAGAAAACGGCCAACCTACTCATGAAGAGCTCTCCAGACACCAAACAGAATGCCTTGGACGAAATCAACGTTGTCTATGCTTCACATGCCCACTTGGGGACTGTCAGCCCCAAAGATCTCAGTATATATGTAAGACAACAACGTCTCTTTCTAGGCGATTAACAATGCACAAATAACAGGGCTCCATCAAGAAACATATAATCTCCTAACCCAACCAGACCATCACCAGAGAAATCTTTTCAAGCAACACAGAAATCATTGATAGATACAACGATAACAGGAATCTCGACATCAGTGAAGCCCTACTAATCGAAAAGTCAACACCAGCTATCAACAGCCAATTAACACATAACTATATTCTACCCACTTCAAGATCCTAAACCAACATAGAAATAGCAGGAGCAATATAGCAATATAGAAGCAGCAAATATGATTGATTCATGTTTTGTCTTTTGTCTCCTCACCCAAAAACATTTATGTCATATCACCTCACCCAAAAACGAATATAAGCATGAAATGATGTGTGTAAAAATCTGTCTTTGAAAATGTGAGAAGTCCTTGCAAAACACTTTTAGGCGTCAGACCTTAAATAAATATGTGAAAATGAACTTTAGAGTTAATTTTTCAATTACCCCTGACAATGAAGAAAAATGTAAGAAATATTGAAAAGATTCGTGTTAGAAGCATTAATCTTATCCTTTTGGGCATATTCAATAACATTATATATATATATATATATATATATATATATATATATATATATATATATATATATATATATATATATATATATATATATATATATATAGTGTAACAAATACTTGCATTTGTTAATATATATTATGTATTATACACTGCAGGGCCGAACAGAGCGATGTTGCTGACATTGAACTAAGGAGAAACAGCCGCCAGAAGCACGGACGCGGCCACCAAGGACGCGGCCACCAAGGACGCGGACACAAACACGGACACGGTCAGGGACACGGACACGGACACGGACACGGTCAGGGACACGGACATCATCATAGACACACAACCAGGAGGACAAGGAGGACTACTAAAACCACCACTCCAACCACTACTAGAACAACTACCACAACTCCAACCACTACTAGAACAACTACCACAACTCCAACCACTACTAGAACCACTACCACAACTCCAACCACTACTAGAACAACTACCACATCTCCAACCACTCTTAGCACAACGACCACCACTCCAACCACTACTAGCACAACGACCACCACTCCAACCACTACTAGCACAACGACCACCACTCCAACCACTACTAGCCCAACTACCACCACCACAGCCACTACTACCACAACTACCACCACTCCAACCAACAACCAACCAAATGGTCCTGGGTTGGTTGGTTGTTGTCGTCGTCGTTGATTCTTCTCTATGGACAACCCAACCCACACAACTCGGTAGAGTGCTTATACTTCACTAGGAGATCACCCTTGGCGCTTCTGGCTCTTGGAGAGGGGCTCAACGTCACACATTTAGGGGATGCGGCTCCAACACCTAGCCTCGTTGTCACGTGCACACACCCACTCGAGCCGCTGTGACTCCCCACTCTCTCCTTAGGTAATATGATCTCGATCCCCTTTTGGCTTATTAGTACTACCTTCTACCCTGTCCACAGCAGTGGTTCTTGGTTCTTTCTCTCTCTCCTTCTTTACTACCTCCTGGGAAGCCTCACTAGGACAAGGGCAAACACCAGCAAATTGGGGTACATTTACTGGACGAAGCACATACACGATACATACACACATATAATAATAATGAATCCTATACTCTATAATATTACAATCGGGTTGCACTCCAACACCATCAGAACTCTATCATCAGCTTATCAAGTGGTATCCTATCCCCTGGTTCACCACCTGATACTATCAACCTCCTCAAATAGATCAAGTCTACATACACTGTTGCACCATCAGCAAGATAATATATATATAGAAAATCAGCACTTGAATGCAATAACATATATCAGTATAAATGTTCATTGATACACAACGATGATCAATCGATCACTCTATCAGTCCTCGAACACATACATCTGTAGGTAATCAAGCCTACGACTGCAACTCTAAACTTCAGAATAAATCACTCCTTGACATAAGAATGCAAACAACCACTCACCACTCACTGCGTCTTGCACACTAATGACAACCAAACACTATTAACTCCCTACAAGTAATCCACCGGAACTTCCCTTCCACCTCTGGAAGTTCACTACCCTGATATCTTCAGGTTCTTCCGGGCTTCACTACCAGGATCCTCTGCAGCTCCTCCAGGCTGCTATCATGAAGTTTCTTTGAGCAACTACGGTGCTTCACCCTTCTGCTAGGTTCCTCCACAGCTCTCTTGGCTGCTACACCACCTCTACAGAAGCACGTGACACTCCTCTTCACTGCTTCTCCTCACAGCTCGAGGTCCTCTGCTTCACTACCTTGGAGTCTCATCAATTACTTCATCTAGGCTGGCTTCGAAGTTCTCAGCAACTTCTTCCCCAAAGACGAACCTGCAACCCATCGACACTCCAATAAAATGTTCCCCTTTAACACATAAACAAAAATAACCACACAATATGCTTGCCTCAAACCTCTATCTGTCCTCTACATACAGTGAGAGTGGACTCCCCCGTTTTGGGCGGGTCCATACTCCACCTCGCCTGGCGGCGGTCCTCACTCACTGGGAGGGTCTTCCTCCGTCAGGAGCCGGGCTCCCTCAGTCGTCGGTCAGAGCTCAGAGGGGACGGACGCCGCTCCGTGCTCCTCCCTCTTCACTCTCCTATTTCAGGCCTTCTGCCTTATTAAAACATGTCTAACCTATAAATAAACATTGCTACTGTCGCTGGGCACACGACCAACTACAAGCAATCACTATGAACTGGCGTATATCGTGCTTACCACAGATTAACTGATCGAGGGCGCTTTCCCTCTGACGGCGTCTGGTCAGGGCGCTCCACACAGCCCACGAAAATGCCTCTGAGCAGCTTATTGAACTCTGCTCGTCGACCAGGACTTGACACCACAACGTTCTTAGCTCAATTCCACAGCTGGCACGTCTGCACACTTCTCTTCTCTTAGAGATATATCACTAGGGGTTCCCTTCTGACGGGAGCTCAAACGGAGCGCGGCTTCCCCTGCGATGTCTGGCACTCAAGTGAGGTCAAGGTCCTCCGGAAGCGAGCCTCACGCCTCCAGCAAAATGTCCACATCTCCTAGCCAGTCATTTATCTGTTTTCTTCTTCATTGCCCATAATCTCAAATTGTTATACATATCCAAGCAACTATTTTACATATGGGTTATTACCTCAATATTTGCTAGACCTTCTAATCAGGTCAGGCTTGATGAATAACTCTCAAGGAGGGAGACTCGTTTCTCCTGCAGGCTGAGATCATAACATAGCCCAACTACCACCACCACCGCCACTACTACCACAACGACCACCACCACAGCTGCACCAGATACTACCACAGCTGCACCAGATACCACCACAGCTGCACCAGATACCACCACAGCTGCACCAGATACCACCACAGCTGCACCAGATACTACCACAGCTGCACCAGATACCACCACAGCTGCACCAGATACTACTACAGCTGCACCAGATACTACCACAGCTGCACCAGATACCACCACAGCTGCACCAGATACCACCACAGCTGCACCAGATACTACCACAGCTGCACCAGATACCACCACAGCTGCACCAGATACTACCACAGCTGCACCAGATACTACCACAGCTGCACCAGACACCACCACAGCTGCACCAGATACCACCACAGCTGCACCAGATACCACCACAGCTGCACCAGATACTACCACAGCTGCACCAGATACCACCACAGCTGCACCAGATACTACCACAGCTGCACCAGATACTACCACAGCTGCACCAGATACCACCACAGCTGCACCAGATACTACCACAGCTGCACCAGATACCACCACAGCTGCACCAGATACTACCACAGCTGCACCAGATACTACCACAGCTGAACCAGATACCACCACAGCTGCACCAGATACCACCACAGCTGCACCAGATACCACCACAGCTGCACCAGATACTACCACAGCTGCACCAGATACCACCACAGGTGGACCATAGATACTACCACAGCTGCACCATAGATACCACCACAGCTGCACCAGATACTACCACAGCTGCACCATAGATATTACCACAGCTGCACCAGATACCACCACCGCTGCACCAGATACCACCACAGCTGCCGCAGCTGTGGAGGAATAGTGCCTCAGAAAATTTAAAAAAATCAGTGTCAGAGTTGTTAACAAATGGTGGGCATTAAGCAGTGATGTGGTGGAGGCTGACTCCATACACAGTTTCAAATGTAGATATGATAGAGCCCAATAGGCTCAGGAACCTGTACACCAGGTGATTGATGATTGAGAGCCGGGAACAAAGAGCCAAAGCTTAATCCGCCGCAAGCAAAACTAGGTGAGTACAACTACTATCACCACTACTCCATCTACCACCACCACTACCCCAACTACCAACATCACTATCCCAACTACCACCGTATAGACCATTGATTGAGAAACGACACGTGTTTGGATTTTCGTAATACGACCATCGTAGAACAGAGAGCACCTGCTTACTTTTATTAAAGATATTGTATATGTTATCTTTACATCTTTCGTAACAGAAATAACAACAAGATAGAAGCAAAAGGGTTGATGACAGATTCATAACAAAAACATGAAGCCAAAAGAAACTTAAAAGTGGTACATATAAAATATACAGAACAAAGAATATGAACAGACAGACACACAGCCAGGACCAGCAGCAAGAACATGAATGGTAACTAAGGTAAACACCTAAAAGAAGAACAACAACAATGGGTAACATAAAAATAAAAGAATCTATTTAAATAGCAAAAACACACACGAATAAAATGAACGTCAACACCATCAAGAACTAAACAAGGACAAGAAAGGAGTAATAAAAAATAACAAATTAAAATGTATAAAACAAGAACGAAACAAATATAATATCAACACAAAACAACAAAGCAAGCAACACCCCTAACATCAACAAAGCAACAACATCAGTAATGGTTACAGTTATAATGTTTTAAAACAAATTATCCCAATTACTTTTGTAATAATGTCAAGTGAAGAATACTTGCAGATAAATTCAGTTCTATTCACTTACTAATAATATTATATTTAGGAACAAAATGCACTATCAGCTTACAGTAGTTACCTAGTGGGTAGAATATTTGTATATTTTACCACACGTCAAATTACATGCAACGTTTCGGTCATTAATATATCTTGAAGTTGTGTTTCTGAGTTAAAATAAATAGAAGCTGCCTCGTAAGGGCCAATAGGTCTTCTGCAGAGACCGTCATTCTTATCTTCTTATGTTCTATGTTCTTCTTCTTAAATGTAATAAGTTTTGAGGAGAGAATCATGTTCAAATAACATGTAACAAAAGATTGTTGAGATGACGAGAGGCTCCTTATATTTTTAAAGTGATACGAAGAATTTTTGTAAAGTGACATGATGATATTGTCCACATGACTGGAAGCACATTATTGTTAATGGGTGAAGGGAATTATTGTTTAAATAACATGAAGAATAATATTGTTCAGATTTCAGGCATTTTACTGCTGTATTTGTTAATAATTTGGAATAATAAAGATTAATATACTGTATGGTATAGACTGAATTAATTCCAATTCTGGATTCCACGAATAACAATGGCGTTCCGTTGATCATTACAACTCGTCTAGTAGAATGTATACTTGTCTACCATTTTCGTGTTTGTATATACATACATCATACATCTTCTAAATGGTATGCCTCAGCTCACTTTGAAGTATTCTAACGTCATCAAAACAAAACGTAATGTATCCAGTACGCTGAACTAGTCATCATATGAAACAACGTAATTACAGAGAGCTTGACCCCTGTGACACCTTGTATTATCTCATCCATCTTGGTTATGTACTCGCTTGTTCAAGTCAACTTGTTCATATAAAAACTTTAACAAAGAAAACTTTAAAAACTTCAAAGACTTTTTGGTAGACAATGAAGATGCAGTCCAACTGCCCTTTCCCCTTGACTCTTTATTGTCTTGTCATCCAGGACTTTTCCTCAACAAATCAAAATTGTAGGTTTCATTAATCTTCTAATATGTGTAATATTGCCTTATGGATTATATCTGTGTAAGAAATTCTTGTGTAAGGGGCTGATGACTGTGTTCTTTTGTGAAAATCGGAATAACATTATTAGTTGAATAACTTTCCGGTCTATTTCTTCTTTCCTTGGATGCATTGAAGAGTATCATGAGAGATAAACGTAATGCGTCTTGCTGACCCTAAAGTGGGATGCTGTCTCTTCCTGCTGCTGCCTTTGTTACAGTTAAATATTTATATACTTAAGTTTGTTTCCCTCTGTGGTCACTGTGTGTTCTCAAGTCTCACACTCGGATCTCTTTCGTGGCCTTCGTCTGGTAATTAAAGTTCGAATACTTTATTGATATCTGTGTTTGTGTTCTGCCAAGATCTTTGTCACCTGAATTATGATCTCCTCCTTCTATGTTCAGCATTGTTACTGTATCGTTCACCGAGAGATTTCTCCTAATATACTGCAACTGTGTAGGGTCTTTAATTCTCGTTACATTCACACATGGGTTCTCAATATCCATTCTTGTTTTAATGAAATTGTTTTAAACTTTACCGCAGTTTCTTCAACTTTTCTTCTCTCACAAATCATTGTTATATATCAAAATTTTGATGCAAAATATAAGTTTTCAACAGACAGAAAATATTTTTCCCTCTTTACCTGTTAATTTATGTTAGTCGCAGTTATGATGCACTTCAGCCCGCGTATTCAAACTTATTCTAATGGCTGTTCTAATGACAGCTTCCTTTGAATCTCCACATAAAGACGTTGGTGATGGATAGTTCTGCATGGATCAATGGGAGACCACAGCGAAGCAAAAGAGACACACGTGGCCCCATTTAGCTGTCGTTTGATATAAAATATGCAACTGCAATAAAATATTGAACTGCAAATGCGGCTAATAAAAACATATGCACGACTGTCTCAATAGCAGAAATTGCGACATAAATTTGATACTTCTGTGTCTCTTGCAGTCAATGTAAGATCAAGGGCCATTAATCACACACGTGGAGGCTAGATCGTTGGACTGTATATAACTGTTCCCCTCTCGAACCTGTGTCATTCCCACCTTCTACCAGCCCGCTGCCTTCAACTAGCCTGCTGCTCTCTACCGTCATCTCACCTTCACTAAACTTCAACATGAGGTGCGTGTTCTGGCTGTGATAAACTGTCCAATTGGAAGCTCATATGTTCTTTGCTGTTCATTTGCAAAGCTTGAGAGTAGGTATTCTAAGATGAACTCTGCTAGATGTATTCTAAATTTCCGACGCCATTTAACTGATATGACTTTTTGCGTTTTATTTGTGCAAACAACAAAATTTACGTTTTGTTCAAACCAGGGTTTCTCTAATTTACTGATTTCCTTAAAACTAAATAGTTATATTAATGTTTAATACAAGACCTCAAGAGACAGGCAGTGTTATGGAGATGAAAAGTCACAATAAAGTGGCTGAAAAATGTTGACCAAACCACACAATAGAAATTGAAGAGACGACGACGGTTTGATCCCTCCTGGACCATTCTCAAGTCGATTGTCAATCGACTTGATAATGGTCGTGGACTGACCGAAACGTCTTCGTCTCTTCAATTTCTAGTGTGTGGTTTGGTCAACAGTGTCATGAACTTCTTTTTGTCGTCTATAAACATCCAACAGAATCATAATACTTATAGCGACTGTTAGACAAGAGATTAAAGTATAAATTGTGCCATAAAACTAACAACATTTTATACTAATGGTGTTACAAAGGACATTTCAGCAGTAACACAGTAACCTAACCTTCCATTCACCTGGGTTCTAGGAGATTCGAACCGTGGACACCCCAAGTGTGAAGTCGAAGCTGCGACAAAAATTTGATAGTTCGAAGACCGAACTATTGATACCGAGCTCGATACCGAACTGAAAAACGTGGTCGTATTACGTTCATTACAGTCCCCTTTTATTTCATAATGCAGTACAGTGGTTAAGTAAGTTTTCGAGGATTGGTCGATAGTTCCATGTAAATTAATAGTTCATTGTCAAATCACCAAATCTTCAAGTGCGTGAATTGACAAAATCATCAATTCAACTCTAGACATTCCTGTATGATAACCATTACTTTTTGGTGATAACCAGAGCCATTTTGTATTGCCTAGAGCTGATGTTTACGATGTTATCGTTGTAAATGAGTACGCTGAGAGCTTCCTCGCCCATGATAGCATTGCTATTACCTTAATTTAGTTTATATATGTCACAACTATAAACTTCCTGAGTCTATCCGATGTGGAGGGATTTGTGTAGTTGCGAAAAGTGTCTCATTCTGATAACTATAATCCATCTCATTGTCATTATCATCCACGTAATTGTCAACCCCCATCATCAACACCATCAATTAATATTACCTCACTCGGAGCCGGATCTGTTTACGGGCCCCCATCCTCTAGTCAGTCAGGGAATTAAAAAGCTATAACACCATCTTGATGGGGCCCCTTGGTGTTAGTGGACCCCCCTCGTGTTAGTGAACTCCCCTATCTCCCTTGGTGTTAGTGGATCCCCCCTGGTGTTGATGTGTTTTAAGCCATGATATACTTGACCTATTAGGTAAGGTTGCCTTGACTTCACTATCAACAAACCTGCCTTCACCAAACATTCTTATCAGCGTCGTTTTAACTATTTTACCTCTCACTCTTTTTTTTCTCACCTCTCCATCTCAGGTACAAATTCGTGCTGCTGGGTCTTTTGGCCTTCGTATGTGCCACTTCAGGCTACGTTCTGAAGGACCAGGACGACGCACTTGGCGACACCGACGACCGTCCAGAACGGGTCGTCTTCGAAGACGACGATGGGGACAGGTACGAAAACTTTTGAATAAACTGCTAAAAGAAAACTGAAGTTCTCCCCTATTGTTTTGCTCTCTTTTTATTTGTCTCAAAGATGAACCATCTTACACCTGGCGTGTTCTTATTGATCAATATCGTAAAAATTGTTCGTCTTAGCAGTTCACAAAAACTTATCCTCGTCATCAGCTAGCTCCACGATGCACAATTGTTCACTGTTTTCTTTAGTTGTTGTTGTTAGTAGCACGGGCTATGGTGAGCCCGTAGTTTTTCTTTAGTTGCTGTAATAATGTGTCCTGTTGAGAGAACATTCAGAGAGAATACATACTGTACTTGTAATTTATGGTCATATGATTGTGACCCTGAAAAGTTCCTTAGATAGCAATCGAGTCTGTTGCTTATCCAGGAATATAACCCAATGACGAAAATGAGAACGCAATGATATTTCCGTTTTCCAGTCAAGATCTAAATTAAGGAATAAACTGCAATCTCGTATCTTGCTTAACACCTTTAATATCCAATGACCAGAGAAGTGTCTGAGGTGTTTTGTCTTTAATATTAGCAGAATTTGTTAACTGGTAACATGAAATATTTGAGTGTGTAGCTTCTTTTTTTATTCATAATATTTCCTTCTCGTATAATTCCTCTTTCCATTTCCATTATATAAATAAATATATAAACTATTATATTATATATTATATATATATATATATATATATATATATATATATATATATATATATATATATATATATATATATATATATATATATATATAACAAATACTTGAATTTATTAATATGTATTATGTATTATACCCTGCAGGGCCGAACAGAGCGAATCGGCTGACATTGAATTAGGGAGAAACAACCTCGAAAAGCACGGACACGGTCTCGGACACGGACACGGACACGGACGCGGACACGGACACGGACACGGACACGAATATGGTAGCCACAGCGACGAACAGTATCATCATACCCAAACAAGGACGACGGGGACGACTACAACCACTACTACCCCAATTTCCACCACTACCCCAATTATGACCACCACCCCAGTTACCACCACCACCCCAATTATGACCACCACCCCAATTTCCACCACTACCCCAATTATGACCACCACCCCAGTTACCACCACCACCCCAATTATCACCACCACCCCAATTTCCACCACTACCACAATTATGACCACCACCCCAGTTACCACCACCACCCCAATTATCACCACCACCCCAATTTCCACCACTACCACAATCATCACCACCACCCCAGTTACTACCACCACCATCGCAGACGGAGGATTAATTTGGTATGATTACTATGGTATGTAGTGATCAATCAACATTAGTTTGGGTTTTGACTCTGAAAATTCACACTGATGTGTTGCTCATGATGTCAATTTGGACATTAAGTTGGTATATATTTACTTATAGAAAAAAAAGTACAGTAGTATGGGAAATTAAATTATCAGGGAAAAGCACCAAGCCATTATGTCTATATCGCACATGGAAGGGGTCAGGATAAGGATTTGGGATGGGAAGGAATGGTGCCCAACCATTTGGACGGTCAGGGATTGAACGCCGACGTGCATGAAGCGAGACCACCGTTCTACCATCCAGTCAAGTGGTTGGGATTTAGTATGGGGAGTGTTGAATATTTTTATTTGGGAAGCCTTGAGGCCAATGTTCATAGATCTACACCAATGAACTTAGTTTATGAACTAGAACAGGTTAAACTAAAGCGAAATATGAGGGCTGAATGTGTTGCAACTACAGGAAACCTTTGTGTTAAGTTACTTATATTATAAGGATTAGATTTGTTTATCATATGCAATTTCATAATTACCATTATTGCTTTGTTGTGTGCAGAGATACCTGGGTAAGATGAAACTTAAGCAATTGCATTTCTGTTTTACATTATCGTACGGAATAGTTGTAGTTCACAGGGAGCCGGTCGGCTGAGCGGACAGCACACTGGACTTGTGATCCTGTGGTCCCGGGTTCGATCCCGGGCGCCGGCGAGAAACAATAGGCAGAGTTTCTTTCACCCTATGCCCCTGTTACCTAGCAGTAAAATAGGTACCTGGGTGTTAGTCAGCTGTCACGGGCTGCTTCCTGGGGATGGAGGCCTGGTCGAGGACCGGGCCGCGGGGACACTAAAAGCCACGAAATCATCTCAAGATAACCTCAAGATAACCCCAATTATCACCACCACCCCAATTTCCACCACTAACCCCAATTATCACCACTACCCCAATTATCACCACCACCCCAATTATCACCACCACCCCAGTTACCACCACCATCCGAATTATCACCACCACCCCAATTTCCACCACTACCCCAATTACCACCACCACCCCAACTACCACCACTATTACTCCATCTACCACCACCACTACCCCAACTACCAACATCACTATCCCAACTACCACCACCACTATCCCAACTACCACCGTATAGATCATTGATTGAGAAATGACACGTGTTTGGATTTTCGTAATACGACCATCGTAGCACAGACAACACCTGCTTGCTTTTATTAAAGATATTATATATGTTATCTTTACATCTCTCGTAACAGAAATAACAACAAGATAGATGCAAAAGGGTTGATGACAGATTCATAACAAAAAACATGAAACCAAAAGAAGCTTAAAAAGGTACAAGAAAAATGTTCAAAGTAAAGAATATGAACAGTGACGACAAAAACACAGCCAGGATCGGCAGCAAGAACATGAATGGCAGCTTAGGTAAACACCTAAGAGAAGAAGAACAACAATGGGTACCATAAAAACGAAAGAATCTATTTAAATTGCAAAAACACACACGAATATATTGAACGACAACACCACCAAGAACTAAACAAGGACAAGAAATGAGTATTAATAAAAGCATATTAAAATGTATAAAACAAGAACGAAACAAACAAAATATCAACACAAAACGACAAAGCAAGCAACACCCTCAACATCAACAAAGCAACAACATCAGTAATGGTTACAGTGATTATGTTTTAAGACAAATTAACCTAATTACTTTTGCAATAATGTCAAGTGAAGAATACTTGCAGGTAAATTCAGTTCTATTCACTTACTAATAATATTATATTTAGAAAAATACACATGAGCAGATTACAGTAGTTACCTAGTGGGTAGAATATTTGTATATTTTATCACACCACAAATTACATGCAATGTTTCGGTCATTAATACATCTTGAAGTTGTGTGTCTGTGTTAATATAAATAGAAGCTGCCTCGTACGGGCCAATAGGTCTTCTGCAGAGACCGTCATTCTTATGTTCTTATGTTCTATGTTCTTCTTCTTAAATGTAACAGTTTTGAGGCGAGAATCACGTTCAAATAACATGTTACAAAAGATTGTTGAGATGACGAGAGGCTTCTTATTATTTTAAAGTGACACGAAGAATTTTTGTAAAGTGACATGAAGATATTGTCCACATGACTAAAAGCACATTATTGTTCATGGTGAAGGGAATTATTGTTTAAATAACATGAAGAATAATGTTGTTCAGATGATTTCAGGCATTTTACTGCTGTATTTGTTAATAATTTTGAATAATAAAGATTAATATACTGAATGGTATGGACTGAATTAATTTCAATCCTGGATTCCACGTACAATAATGGCGTTACCTTGATCATTAGAACTCGCCTAGTAGAATGTAAACTAGTCTACCATCTTAGTGTTTGTATATACAAATCATATATTTTCTAAATGGTATACCTGAGCTCACTTTGATGTATTCTAAGGTTATCAAAACAAAACGTATTGCATCCAGTACACTGGACCAGTCATCATATGAAACAACGTAAATACAGAGTGCTTATTGACCCCTGTGACACATTGTATCACCTCATCCATCATGGTTATGTACTCCTTTTTCAAGTTAACTTGTTCATATAAAAAGATTAACACAAAACGGTAACAGGGAATTTTGGACTTTCCTTATTAAGACTTCTCATTGCCCAGTCGATAGAGATTTTTAATTCTCGTTACGTTCACACATGGGTTCTCAATATCCATTCTTGCTTTTTGTGTAATTGTTTTAAACTTTACCGCAGTTTCTTCAACTTTTCTTCTCTCACAAACCATTGTTATATCCCTATTTTGTTGCAAAACAAAAGTTTTCAACAGACAGAAAATATTTTTCCCTCTTTATTTTTGAATCTTTTTTAGTCGTAGTTATGATGCACTTCAGCCCGCGTATTCAAACTTATTCTAATGGCTGTTCTAATGACAGCTTCCTTTGAATCTCCACATAAAGACGTTGGTGGTGGATAGTTCTGCATGGATCAATGGGAGACCAAAACGAAGCAAAAGAGACACTCGTGGCCACACACAGCTGTCGTTTGAAATAAAATATGTAACTGCAATAAAATATGCAACTGCAAATGTGGCTAATAAAAACATATGATCGACTGTATCATTAGCAGAATATACGACATGATCGTGATAGTTCTGCGTCACTAGCGGTCAATCTAAGATCAAGGGCCATTAATCAACATATGACACATGTAGAGGATAGATGGTTGGACTGCATATAACTGTTCCCCTCTCGGACCTGTGTCATTCCACCCTTCTATCAGCCCGCTGCCTTCAACAAGCCTGCTGCTCTCTACCGTCACCTCACCTTCACTAAACTTCAACATGAGGTGCGTGTTCTGGCTGTGATAAGCTGTGCAATTGGAAGCTCATATGTTCTTTGCTGTTCATGTGCAAAGCTTGAGAGTAGTTATTCTAAGATGAACTCTGCTAGATGTATTATAAATTTACGACGCCATTTAACTGCTACGACTTTTTGCGTTTTATTTGTGCAAACAACATAATTTGCGTTCTGTTCAAACCAGGGTTTCTCTAATTTACTGATTTCTTTAAAACTAAATAGTTTTATTAAACATTAGTATATGACCTCAAGAGACAGGCAGTGTTATGGAGATGAAAAGTCACAATAAAGTGGCTGAAAAATGTTGACCAAACCACACAATAGAAATTGAAGAGACAACGACGGTTTGGTCCCTCCTGGACAATTCTCAAGTCGATTGTCAATCGACTTGATAATGGTCCTGGACTGACCGAAACGTCTTCGTGCCATCAATTTGTAGTGTGTGGTTTGGTCAACAGTGTTATGGATTTTTTTTGTCGTCTATAAACATCCAACAGAATCATAATACTTATAGCGACTCTTAGACAAGAGATTAAAGTATAAATTGTGCCAAAAAACTAACAACATTTTATACTAATGGTGTTACAAAGGACATTTCAGCAGTAACACAGTAACCTAACCTTCCATTCACCTGGGTTCTAGGAGATTCGAACCGTGGACACCCCATGTGTGAAGTCGAAGCTGCGACATAAATTTGATAGTTCGAAGACCGAACTATTGATACCAAACTGAAAAACGTGGTCGTATTACGTGCATTACAGTCCCCTTTTATTTCATAATGCAGTACAGTGGTTAAGTAAGTTTTCGAGGATTGGTCGATAGTTCCATGTAAATTAATAGCTCATTGTCAAATCACCAAATCTTCAAGTGCGTGAATTGACAAAATCATCAATTCAACTCTAGACATTCCTGTATGATAACCATTACTTTTTTGGTGATAACCAGAGCCATTTTGTATTGCCTAGAGCTGATGTTTACGATGTTATCGTTGTAAATGAGTACGCTGAGAGCTTCCTCACCCATGATAGCATTGCTATTACCTTAATTTAGTTTATATATGTCACAACTATAAACTTCCTGAGTCTATCTGATGTGGAGGGATTTGTGTAGTTGCGAAAAGTGTCTCATTCTGATAACTATAATCCATCTCATTGTCATTATCATCCACGTAATTGTCAACCCCCATCATCAACACCATCAATTTATATTACCTCACTCGGAGCCGGATCTGTTTACTGGCCCCCATCCTCTAGTCAGTCAGGGAATTCAACAGCTATAACAGCATCTTGATGGGGCAAAAGAAGAACAACAACAACGGGTAACATAAAAATAAAAGAATCTATTTAAATAGCAAAAACTCACACGAATAAAATGAACGACAACACCATCAAGAACTAAACAAGGATAAGAAAGGAGTAATAAAAAATAAAAAATTAAAATGTATAAAACAAGAACGAAACAAATATAATATCAACACAAAACAACAAAGCAAGCAACACCCCTAACATCAACAAAGCAACAACATCAGTAATGGTTACAGTGATTATGTTTTAAAACAAATTATCCCAATTACTTTTGTAATAATGTCAAGTGAAGAATACTTGCAGATAAATTCAGTTCTATTCACGTACTAATAATATTATATTTAGGAACAAAATGCACTATCAGCTTACAGTAGTTACCTAGTGGGTAGAATATTTGTATATTTTACCACACGTCAAATTACATGCAACGTTTCGGTCATTAATATATCTTGAAGTTGTGTTTCTGAGTTAAAATAAATAGAAGCTGCCTCGTAAGGGCCAATAGGTCTTCTGCAGAGACCGTCATTCTTATCTTCTTATGTTCTATGTTCTTCTTCTTATATGTAATAAGTTTTGAGGAGAGAATCATGTTCAAATAACATGTAACAAAAGATTGTTGAGATGACGAGAGGCTCCTTATATTTTTAAAGTGATACGAAGAATTTTTGTAAAGTGACATGATGATATTGTCCACATGACTGGAAGCACATTATTGTTAATGGGTGAAGGGAATTATTGTTTAAATAACATGAAGAATAATATTGTTCAGATTTCAGGCATTTTACTGCTGTATTTGTTAATAATTTGGAATAATAAAGATTAATATACTGTATGGTATAGACTGAATTAATTCCAATTCTGTATTCCACGAATAACAATGGCGTTCCGTTGATCATTACAACTCGTCTAGTAGAATGTATACTAGTCTACCATTTTCGTGTTTGTATATACATAGATCATACATCTTCTAAATGG